GAAATTATTACAATATATTTACAGCAATATCGAGGACTTTTTTAAAATTATACAATTGAAAATACGTAAAAGCAACATGATATTATCATTAAATACATATTTCAGTATGAGATTGAGCAATGAATAAAACCACCTTTTACAATAATTTGCCATCATTATACACACTATCACAATAGATTTTAAAAAACAAGTAAAAGAAACTATATGAGAATAAGCATTTGTTTTTAAAGCAAATAGTGTCGATGTTAAGAGGAAGAGTAATTGATAAATAAAACTTTGTTTACACGCTGCAAAGTATATAATTTATATCGATCGGGAAATCGAGAAGGAATTTTGTTTAATACGTATTATAAATGCAGTGTATATTAGTGCAATGGTTAAATGTTCAAGATTGAATGGAAATTTACGAGAATTCGACGTGTGAATATAAGATTAGAGAAATAAAAATTTGAGGAGAAAGTTCATAGAGACTTGTCGAGACAACTTGTATGCAAAAAGCATATCGAAAAAATACATCAAAATTGTGATGGATCGGCCACGGGAGAAAGCCGTAAATGACAAAGATAGGGCTTGAGACGGTGTCGTTCCAGTCTCGCTGTGAACTCGTTGAGTGTAAAGGAGCGGAAGCCTTTAACGCGAGAAATTGTTAGGAAAGTCGGTGTCGGCGCAATCGTAAAACCGGGTCGAAAGAGCATGAAGGCAGCAAAAATTGGTCGACAGGTATAACGGAGAGGCACGTGAACGTGGAGGAGCGGTCGCAATGGGTAGGTAACACCGAGGTCGACAACTGCTCCAGCTGCTGCGAAATACCGAGCGACTGGCCAGATGAGAGGCGGGGGCGAAGTGGTGCCGCGAGCAAGTGGAAGAGATCGCGGATCAGGAGGTTCCTGAGGGCCAGTGGCCGCTGCTGTCTGTGCACTCTGCGCTACATGCGGTGCTGGACGAAAAAGCTCGTCGATCACAAATACTTCCAGCAGGGCATACTCTTTGCCATCCTCATCAATACCCTCAGCATGGGCATCGAGTATCACAATCAGGTTGAGAGACAGACCCTTATATCTTATGTCCCTTATATCTTAGGGATGCTGTGTCCCCACTTAATGCACGACCGATTATTTTTCACTCTAGGCGCTTCATGGGAAATCGTGAATTTGATTGTCATTAGTTTAATAAGAGTTTGCTAATTTGATCGATCTGATTTAAGCAGTCAATTTTCCAATATTCCTCGTTTATTTCGATTCGGATGACAAAATTTAATGTATTTCTAAGCTATTTTAAAAAATAAAGGGATTTATACGCGTGTGTGAAGCAATTCTAAAGTTAATATACTAATGTCGATTTCAATTAAAAATAGCCTTTTATTTAGAATATAATATCGTATGCTCAATAAGTTACAATAAGCTATGTGACGCGAAATATGTATAAAATTAATTAATTAACCTTATACGGCCGTACGTCGACTTACATAAAACTTTTACACGATGCATATAAGATTATAAAAGTTGATTTTTACTTGAGAAATATTTATGAAAGGCTATATTTATATAATATTAACATAAACTATATCCATAAGTAGAATATCAGAAATTTTTATTTGGTAATTTATTTAAATGCCTGCATGTGATATTACCAAAGTGAATGAAATACATCGTTCATCGGTATTGTCATCAATATTTAATAAATAACTTTATTAATAAATTATATTACATTGTCAGTAAGAATGTTTAATAATTAACTTTCTATAACGCATTTGTATATCATTAGCCAGAAGAGTTGACGGTCGTGGTCGAGATAAGTAATATCGTCTTTTCCGCCGTGTTCGCTGTCGAAATGTTATTGAAGATCATAGCGGAAGGACCCTTTGGTTATATCAGCAATGGTTTCAACGTCTTCGACGGCATTGTTGTTGTTTTAAGGTATCATATTATTTATTCTATCCTGAAACCGGGTTTGCCCGGAGCCAAGCAATCATATGTGTGCATTGACATCAATATATACCGTAATAATGAAAAAAAAAAAAAAAAAAAAAAATTAATGAATTAATTAATTAACTTAAGAGAAGCCGAAAGAGCGTAAATTAGATAAAGTGTTATTTTTATTAAATTTTTCCCTTTTCTTTTCTTTTCTTTTTTTTAAATATAGTGTTGTTGAACTGTGTCAATCTTTTGTGGAAGAAAGGAGTGGAAGCTCAGGTTTGAGCGTACTCAGGACATTTCGCTTGTTAAGGATTTTAAAGCTCGTGCGTTTTATGCCAAATTTGCGGCGACAGCTGTTCGTTATGCTACGTACAATGGATAACGTCGCTGTATTTTTTTCCCTTTTAGTGTTGTTCATCTTTATCTTCAGGTAAGTTCAGTTTATTTTTTAACCATACGATATTATTCTATCTAGTTTATAGTTTGTAGAGATTAAATTGTAAAAATTAAAAACGACTTTATATTATATTTACATTATAAACCTTATAATTACAAAGATAGCTACCCTTACAAATGCCCACGGACTTTTACTTTTTAACATTAATAAGAAATAAAGTATGTTGCATTATATTTACATTATTATTTTATTATGGTGATATCGTTATTCTAGACATGCAAATCATGAATATAATAAGAATCGTCGGTGTAAGAATTTTCAAGTAATTGACAGTAAATTTGAATAATAAATTAATCTTTGTAATAGTGCCGTATTTGAGCAAAATGACAATTTCATTTACGGTGAATTTATACCACATTTATAAAATTAAAATCAATTTAGACATTTTCAAAGTTCTATCATTTTAAAAGTTTCTTTAACCATTTTGTTATCATTTCTCTATTATCGATAAATATAATTATATTCGAGTATTAATACAGTGTCAAAGTTTGATTTTAAATTTCTTATAACTAAATAAAAATTTTTTAAAAAGTATTGCAAGCAATAGGGATGATAAGAATTTTAATTATTACAAGAATAAAATTCTATGGAAAAGATGCAAAGGTTAAAAATCAAAGAAGTTTTCTTCTATTGGTAATACAATATAATGGGAATGAAAAGAAATCATATACACAAGCATATAAGAATGATAATAATGATAATAAAAATACTTAAATATATAAACATGTGTGTGTGTGTGTGTGTGTGTGTGTGCGCGCGCGTGTGTATTTCTAGATTAGCATTTCAGTGTGATTACTTTGATACGACGCTGACGGTTGTTAATGTTGATGATGTTATTGGCACGTCCGGGATAAGCATAATTCAGGAATGCATCGGAAGTAGTGCCTTCGCATTTCTACTTATCTCACTATATACATGAAGATATCAAGTATACACCTAATATATTAATATATATATATTAGGTATTTATTAATGTGTGCATGGTGCTTTTATTTGCTGGAGATGTCTAGCGACAAGTCTAATAGATGGCTATTACATACTGAATAATTTTGTCGTTATTCATTTATTACTTCAAATACCTTCCATTTCTGATACTCTCTGCTATATTGAAACAAAAATTAAGCTATTTTCGAGAAAAATGTTTCGCTTTCCCAACTATCTCACTTTTAAATCTACAATTTTGAAAAAATACCATATTTATAATACTTTTACGTTATAATACGAAGAATTGAAATGTAATTATATAATTGTACGAGGCATTTTCGTAAATGTTGAATTTGCAATCTCTATTATTTATATTGAAACATATTTATTTTTAAACTTGTTTAACACAATATTTTATATTATATTATTATTTGGCTTAGAAGTTTATTAAAATTTGATTGTGACATATTGACTACATTAAAATAATAAAATTTTTTTTTTTATGTTCATTAACACATTTTAAGTAATAAATATTTATGTTTTAGAAGGTAAACAGTTTAAAAGTAAGATCGCTATTAAAGAAAATTTATAGTCACATGGTATTCATTTGCAAGATCTGACATATTAAATATCATAATAGCAATGCAATTAAATGTAATAGATAATAATAAATTGAAATGTAAAATGATACTTGTGTTTGAAAATGTATATAAATTATAGATCGTATGAATAAAAAGTAATGAATGCATATAATTTTAATTGAATAATATTCATTAATATTGAAAAGCCTTGTTGGATAAAAAAAGAGGTATTATGAATGGATCGAATAAAAGAAATATTTGCCTAATAAGTTTAGATTTTAGAGTCTATATTCTCTTATTAAGCCAAAGTACTTAAAAATAAATGACAGCAATATTTTCCCATCCAGCTTCTCAATACTTCTTCATCAAAACTTTTAAAAGACTATATATAAAGTTTTCAATTATTATTTTGTGAAATTAAATCGTTTTTTTTCTTTTTTAATAATCCGATTATGCGTGACTGTAGATAAAAAGGTAAGAAAGAAATTGTTTTTCTCGAAAAATAATATGTACCATGCAAATTTTCCGCAAGCGGATGGAAGCCGCCTTGTCTTGAATATGATATTTCGGTTTGATCGTCGATATTAGAAAGCTTGTAAATGTTCGTTACGTATTCTGTCATCTTCATTTTATATTTTCAAAACATCAAGTGTCTAAGCATTAGTACATTTAGTGCAATATAAGTATTAAAAATATGACATTCGTATACACGTTTATTATGCAGAATTTCCCATTTAATTGGCGTTCTTTTATACAACTTTTTGTAGAATTTTATTTTTATCGTGCAATTCATATCATTATTTTAGCAGCAAAACTAACTTTTCTTTACCTTATTAAATATTTGTGTCACGAACGTTCATTGGTTGGTAGAGCTTGTAATCATTTAGTTAGCTGTGTGATCATGTTAGTGATCTGTGCTGATCGAAGATTTACTTTCCTTTTTAGCATTTCTATCAAAGTTCAAATCTCATTTGGGACTATTTATTTCTTATTTTCATTATTATTGGGGTTTCTTCTTTTCGAAATACAAAATTACAAAGTTAGCCTTTTATTTAATTTAAAAGTTTTTATTTTATGATCAGTAAACGCATAGTTTGTATTTTATCGATTTTACAAATAGCGTAGAATAGAATACACGTGAGTAAATGCAATTTTCTTTACGTACTATATATATATATTTTTTTTTTTTCTGTTTTTTTGTTTTTGTTTTGTTTTATTTAATTAGCATTGATTAAACTGCATTTTACAAGCCTATAGTCAATAAAGATTCTTTGATGTTTTATTATCATTACTCGAACTTTTATTAAATAATTTTATGTGCAAGGTTAATGAAAGTGAAGGGTGTTGATGATTCCGAAAAGTTAAACGAAGGAATTCATCCTTGATGAGGCTTTGAAAGATTTAATAAACATCGATGCATCGATGTTCAACAAATTTCAGTCGGTTGAAAAAAAAACAAGAATACTTTCCTAGCAAGTAGAAGCTTAGGCTGCACCAAGCAATATTAATATTGTGTGAAAAAAAAAAGAAACAAAAAAACATGATAATCAATTTTTCTAACTATACTGATTTTAGTCGAAAAAAGGACGCCCCCAATGAATGAAGAAATACATCGCACGTTTCGTTGTGTTGTAGTATACTCGGGATGAACCTGTTCGGTTGCAAATTCTGTGAAACGATGAGTGGCGGCTCGGACATCGAGTGCGATAGAAAAAACTTTGACTCGTTGCTCTGGGCTATAGTGACGGTGTTTCAGGTACTTACAGGCTAATTTTTCAAAAAAAAAAAACTAATAATATTTACGACGAGGATTTTAACTTCGTTTATCGTTCAAAAAAAGTTTATTGATTAACAATTGATGGGCCGTATGAACGACACTTTACATTCAGCTTAATGAAATTTCGTGAGTCTGCGAGAGGTGAAGCTTTCTTTTGAAAATTTGGGTTTATAATCTTTTAAATAGTGCTATATATAATATACATATGATGTCTTCAAGGTAGTCTTTTATCTTTATCTTTTTCAATAACTAATACCTTATTAAGCTATCATTATGAAAATCATGGTGAAATGATTATTGAGTTTTCAAAGAAATAATAAATTTATTGATAATGGAGAGACAGTTATTCTCTCCAATTTAAGAATGATAGATAAATTAGTCGTAATAATAATAATAATAATAATAATAATAATAATGAAAATATTATTATTACGAGAGAATTTTTATTAATCTACAAAATTATAACATAATAGTAAAAACCTAATAAAAAATTAAGCTTTACTTACGAAAATGAATATTCAAGCGAATGCGAAATAATTAACGAGTCTCCAATAAAATATATGAATGTAAAACAGCAAATTTAACAAGATAAACTCCAAGTTTTTAATCGAAGCCCTCTCGAGTATTAATATTCCGATTGATACAGATTAATAATTAATACTGAGAGAAAGATTACGTTCATACGAGGCTCGTATGTACCTATCATCAGAACTTGACTCGTGCGTCTCTGGTTTATTATTAACAAAGCGAAGGTAACGTATTAGTCTCTTGGCATGTCCTCGTTCGCCGACGAGGAGATAGAAAGAGAGAGAGAAAGAGAGAGAGAGAGTGAGAGATAAAGAGCAATGGCAATCTTTGTGATATTTCTTGCTTTTTTTCATTGATAATGAAGCGCAATAGGCATGTTACGTAACGCTACGTAACTCATGCGGCGTGGGCCCCCCTTACGGCCTCACACTGCGCTTCCTCCCGATCTGTACGAGCTCACGCACACGTGCCCATGCACTTACACGCACCAACGTCCATTCACCCATCCATACAAACACATAAACAAATGAACAAGCAAACGAGCAAACGAGCAACAAACAAATTCGTCCACACACGACTTTTTGTTGTTGTTTTTTTTTATTTTTTTATTTTCAAGTATCGTCATTAACGCAACCGCCCAAGGCCACACTTGACTCGTAAGAAGGGAGTGAGCATGCTGCTCGTCCGCTTTATCACCGAGAAGCTTAACCCGCGTGCTTTCGCATCCGAACGGCCTCCCGCGAGGACCCGCTATATATGTGTACAAGTAGATGAGCCGCACCATGTGATAAGTGATTATTTAGTATCCATGTCTTAGTGGTATTTCAGTTTTCGCCGTGCCGAAGGAAAAAGGGCTGCGCGTCCCCGGAATTCGCAGCCGCGTACGATTACTCCGCGATAAGGAGCGCGAATCAATACGCGGATATTCCCAGCATTTTATCCGGCACGGCGAATGCCAAGCATCATACATCGCAAGAGCTGCGAGCTATCTCCTTGTTCTTGTTCTTGTGCTTGTCTGTACGCAGCTGTCTCTCTCTGCCCGTGTGGGTGTGCGTGCGCGTGGTTGCGCGAGTGCATGGTCGGCGGGTGTATGTGGGCGAGTATGTGCCTGCGCTTCAGCCCTATTATCAGCCGTTGCTATTATCAGTATTTTTATTTTTCAGTATCGGATATTTTAGCGAACTCGTGCTCAGCACCATTTGTAAACGTGCTTTATTCTGTATGCGTGCCGATGCTTAAAAACACTTTTCGCACGCTGGATTGTAATGTTTTATAAGGCGATGGTTTGCAGCTTACTTATCACGGAGCACGATTAAGCTCTTTACTATCCCTCACGATTGAACCACTTTTACTTTTACATAGTGTATCGGTGTAACTATGCTCCATACTCGGACAGGCTTTAAGTACTTGCTAAATCTTATGATTGGGAGACCTTCGAACCATATTTCTCACTATTGTATGTGGCTATTTCAGACACTATCGGATCATTGATCGCAAGACATACATCATGACCGTCATTGACTTTATTTTTCTCTGCCCTATTATTTTCGTAAAATGTACTCTCGACGTTAATTAAAAAACAATTCATATCTACACCGTTTATTGGTTGATTTTCAAATTTAATTAATTTATATATATGTATATATATATATATATATATATATATATATTATAATGCAGCTACGACTAAGCAAAGCAACTAGAAATGAATAGAATAATTATATATATAAATTTTTATGCTCAAATCATTATAAATATCCAGCCTGATCGATCTTCGCTGCGCTCTTTACATATTTATCCACTAAATATTACATTTTATTGCAACGAAATGAGCGAATTATTTTAAATAAATTTGAATTCTATAATTGAAAGATCAGTATTTAATGAATAAGAATATTATATATCAGTTTTATTTATAGGGTACATTATTCGGAGATGAAATTATATTTCAATTTCAATTTATTTCGAAATATATATATATAGAAAGCGACTAAATTTCTATTATATTAAAGCCAATTTAACTGAATGGCGATAAATTTCATTTAAATAGCTTGTAATATTTTCCAAATTATTAATACTGTAAGGTAAAAATACTTTCCTTTATTATTGAATTAGAACAGAAATTAATTTCCGTAGAACTACTTCTTTAAAACCCGAAGTACACAAGTTATTCAAAAGTAGAAACACGTCTCCAAGATTATTATTTGAATTATTAATCTGCAACTGCATTGGATCACTGCAAATAACGCAGTTTCTAATCTTATCCGTAGTTCTTCCGCAGTATTCCATTATACTTGACCGCTTTGCATGTAAATGTACGCGTGCACTTGTATATATGTATATATATATATATATATATATATATATATATATATATATATTTGTGCGCGTGTGTGTTTGATGTAAATTATACGGCTAATGTCGTCAACACGTTGTACACTATTTACTATAGTATTATAAAATTATAATATTTTCTCAAAAGTATCATACATTTTGCTATCGCGACAAAGTATATCATGTCGTTAAAAACCTGATCAGCAAAAACTGTAAAAGTGGTTTTATAATGGATATTACAATTTATATAACAATCAATTAACCAATTACACGGTAAAGACAAATAGAAAAAAATTGAATTGAAAAAAGTCGATAATTGACCGACCAAACGCCAATAACAAAGCAATTATACAGTAAACAGTTATAAATAATTAAACTATAAAAAATAAAGTATATAAGAAAGAATATGAGAATAAAATTATGGAAAATATCTTGTTCGCACTTTTAATATTTACACCGAAATGTTATTCCTTAGTAAAGTTTCGTTAAAACCGAATGCCTACTAAATATATTAGAAGTGAATTGAGAACTTAACAGCTTAACGCACCATAAGCGCATACTTGTGTGTGTATATATATATATACGCACATTTATGCCCATATGAAATGCACACTCACACGTTCAAATTTAATATAATTTTATCCTTCGGTAGCTAGTAACTTTATATTTAGGTCAAGTAGTAGTTAATTTAAAAAAGTATATTAATAATATTGATAAACCAATTTAGTTGGAACATGATGCAAAGTAAAAATGGCAACTTCCAAATGTTTCAAATAACTTATTTAAATTTCATAAGTTTTAAAGCGTAAAGAGAAAAATGGAAGAGTTGTGTCGCATTCCAACTGCATATAAGAGAGAAAACGCAGTATATATTCTGCCCCATATATATATATATATATATATATATATATATGTGTGTGTGTGTATATACATATAGAGAGAGAAAATGTAGTTCTTACTTTATTATTTTCTTTTTAAGAGACAGTGAATAATGAATCCTTTATTGCTTAGAGAGAGTTTTAATGTTATACTCACAGCTTCCTATCCTTCCGTTGTGAATTCTTCACCCACTTTACGACAATATAACTAAAAAAAGTCTATCCTTAGGACACTGTGAACTGAAAAGTTCTAAGAATTATTATATCGCACATAATTATTACGAATAAAGGATCAATACAATCTTTTAAAGCCTTATAAAACGTTCATTGATTATATTCGAAAATTTATTCCGATTTGTCTACACTTATTATTAATTTAATGGGTATAATTTTTTCTAATTGAAATAATTCATTGTTTCTAATCCATAAATATTAAGATAAATTTATAAATATAAAATATCTCCATTTATATTCATTAAATACTGTGGTCGATTGTTATTTTATGTGCACGCAAGTATATTTTAAAAATTAATCTGGGTATTTTCATTTTTCATTTTCAATACTAAATATACATCATAATAATAGTAGCAGTTCATTTTAAAACTTATTAATTTAATGCTTAATTTTTTAAATAATCATTGCATATAAGCTACAATAAGCTGCAATAGTAATGTAAATATATACGATTTCAGATACTATTAAGTCATAAAAATAATATCGAATATAATCATATATTATAATATAAGCTAAAGTAATTTTTTTTATAAAGCTTGGGCATAATTTGAAGCTCGAACTAGTTTTGTAAATGCATTTATGAATAAAACTAAGTAGAAATGGCTTTGAGATAGTATTAAATATATCGTAATATGTGTATTCTTAGAAATTCCGTAATTTTAAAAGAACTTTTCTGTTGACATTTCATATGGTAAATACACAATTCAGCATTCTGCATTAAACGGTATTATCTATAATTCATCTGTTCATTTAACTCAAAATAATGAAATGCATTAAAGTTTTCGTTTTTAACAAATGAAATAAGATATATTTCTACATTAATTAACAATATTCTCCATTTATCAATCGAATCAAATGAACAGAATAACAATAAAAGTAATATATCAATTTTATACCTTTGCATATACTTATTGTGGACATTTTATACGTTTTTTTCATGTATATTATTCTTATTTTGAGTATACCGATTTTGCAGAACGTAATTGACTCGAGCTTATCCGGCAATGTCTATACGATTATTTTATTAGGCATCTTTTCATTTAAAACTCTCCATGGAGCTCGCCCATCGATTTATGTGAACCACGAATATACCTATTTTCACATTACGAACACTAACTTCGGGAAAGCTTAACCTTTACATCTCTGCATTTCTCCGCAGACTTAATTAGGAGCGAATTAATTTTGTCACTATGAAATGTATTATAGCTCCCGCATTGTTTTCGTGCCAATAAGAATTAGATTCATTCTCAAAACCGTAATTGAATAAAGAAAGAAAGAAAAAATATATTCCATAATCAAGGAGGTTTGGCAGGTATTAATTCATAAAGCTTGGGAATAACTTTATTTATAAATGAATTAATTTACCTAAAACATTCAAATTCAATTAAATCAAGACATTTCATTTTTCTATAGTTTTCATTGATTCTCTATAAATTTAAAAAGTAAATTGCAATGCCATTCGCATCATTTTCAATTTATTTACACTATTTTCACCTCTATTTAGTACGGTATAAAGTAAAATATTGTCAACCACTATAGATTTTAAAACAATGCTAAACGAATGTATTATTAATTTATATTTATATTAATACGCTAAAGAAACAAATTTATTTAAAATAATTTTCACTGCTTTAGAATTACAACAACAAAAAACTGATGGCTTATAGTTTTTTGAGTTTTTTTTTAATAATATATATGTATTGGAGCGGTTGCGAATGCTACATTAGCTATGTCGAACTTAAAATTTAATCTACTGATAAAATTATGATTAAATAACTTTTATAAAAGATACGGTTATAAATTTGATAAGAGGATTGATTTTCTTATATCACTGAATGTACAAAAGTCGTATAAAAATAAATCGTAAGAACTTTTAGCGTGATGGAGAGAGTTAAAAGCACTGCTGGGCTTTCAATTGCAGCTCTTAAATATATAAAAGCATCATATGGTTGAATTAATAATACATGAATTTGGAGTTATTTTCGTACATAGAGTAGCTCGCTTGGCTTTAGCTTAGCAAAATACGAAAACACGTGTTTTGCATTTGAGAAAACTTCGGGAAAGTGCAAGCTGAGGCGCTGAAGAGAAATGGGCGAGCTCCGAGAAATCGAGATACGACGCGTCCTTGTATTCCTCGGAAGAAAAAGTTGTGTACTTTAGGCCTTGGGGGATTATGTCTCGGTTACAGCATCCTAGGGATGTACCTGTTCGGGGGTAAGTTTTGCATGTGGGCGGACCGGAGTCGGCCCTGTACCTGTGCCGAAGTGGTCTCGCGCCACCCGTTGTGTCGCTGTGATCGCAAACATTTCAACGACATCGTCTGGGCACTTGTAACCGTCTTTCAGGTACCACTGTTCCCTTTTTTCACTTACACAGTCTCTCTCTCTCTCTCTCTCTCTCTCTCTCTCTCTCTGTTTGTCTGTCTGTCTGTCGGTCTGTCTGTCCCCCTTCCCTCTCTCTCTCTCACTCACTCACACACACACACTCTCTCTCTCTCTCTCTCTCTCTCTCTCTCTCTATTTCTCTTTTTCTCTTGCTCTCTCTTTCTCCATCTCAATCTCTCTTTGCGCTATTCTATTTGTCTCTTATTTCAACTCTCTTCACCTTCGTCTAAATCTCTCAGTCTCGTGCTCACTTACACACGTATATCAGTTCTCTCATATGCGTCTTACTTATCTACAAAGTGATCTATAATACACACTTCACTAATTATCTTTTTTGCGCCAAATGAAACCATATGGCTATGTAAAATTATATGTCATATGTAAAATTTGCCCAATTAAATCACACGAGTATTATGTATTATATAACCTATATAATATTGATACACTTTTATTAATTCAGTTTATATTTTATTGATTGAAGGGGAGATTTTTCTCGCTCACCTTTATTACATTATACATAAAAATGATTAATAATATAATATTATAATCATGATAATAATTGTAATTAACTTTAACTGTATAATAATAGCATAGAAATCCTTCAATTGGCAGTCTATTTTTAATTGGATACGTCTTATACGATTGCAATGTAATTCTTTATATTTTTATACGCATATTAAAATGAAGCATAAAACTTTAGATTTTTTTAATAATTAAAATTAAAATTTTAATAATGAAAGATTAATCTCGATTAAAACAAACATTGGAAATATTCGTGAAATACTGTGTGATTTGTGGGCCTAGATGGGCATAGATCCATATCTTGATGAAGCTGTTTTGTTATAATCAATTCACGCTTATAATTTGATCGTATTTTATATACATCATCGCGTGATTTTCGATAAAAAGTGTGTGCTATACAAAATGTTGTTGAAATTCATTTCGACTTTATCGACTGTACATATCGGAATATATCGTTTTTGAAGCTAAAATTATATCACAAAAGGATTCTCGTAAATGTGTTCTATTATTTTTATTTTCTGTGCTGTTTTATCGATATTTATAACCTTAAGATCGTTAACGCAATATCTTACTCACTAATATACATATATATATATATATACTTGCTCTTTAAACATTTATATAGTTTTTTTTTATCTTGCTTTGTAAATAAATGCTTTTCCGTGCTTATTATTTACTTATCGATTTTTAAAATCATAATAATCTATTTCTTCGCTCGTATAGTAGCTTTTAACACTTTTTTTTATCTACGGATAATTTTGAAGAAATGTACAGTTATTAAAAATCTTCTTATCTTTCAATCTCAAATTTCTTCAGGGACGATGCGCTTACTAGTCGCTCAAGTTCGATTTGTCTTACTGATCGCTCTACTTAAATAACGCAATTGCATAGATGAATTTTGAAATAATTATTATAAAATTTATGACTTTCAGTAAAGTAACAAATAAATTGTACAGTCATATTAATAAAACAATGATAAATCAACTACAAAGCACGAAAGTCTATTTTGTATTACTATCTCTGCAATTAAATTCAATTAATAGAATACCATGATTGTAATTACAAAGTGCACAGGGAGAAAACCGCGTGACGAAAGATAAATCGAACTTCAGAATAATAATGGAAGATTTTAATTCGCGCATTGCGCTTTATTTGTTCTCTTTTATCCAGATTCTGACGCAAGAGGATTGGAACGTTGTTCTATTTAACGGAATGCAGAAAACATCTCACTGGGCGGCTTTATATTTCGTTGCTCTAATGACCTTCGGTAACTACGTACTCTTCAATTTGCTAGTTGCTATCTTGGTGGAGGGCTTTTCTTCCGAGGTAAACCCAATTACAGACTCACATAATATACATTTTAATTTTTATGTGCAACTGCATATTCGTTATTGTTATGTACATCAATGAGATATTATAACGAATTGTCTCATTAGTTGAATGTACTTAGTATGCAAAATGTATATTAGAAGGTAAATTATTTGTAGACTTTTTTTAAATTCATTCAATTGTATAACTCTGGTTTCGCAATTATCTTTAATATAAAGGTAATAAAAAAATTGTTGAAATGTCTAATTTTACATTAATATTGCTTTGATATTATTGATATTATTGATAATGTACATTGGTATTATTGAATCTAATTAGATAATATGTCAAACTACAATGTGCATATTACTATAATATGCATAATATAAAATGAAATTAATAATAATAAAATAAAATAAAATGATAACGTTTGTTACATTATCGACAATTTTGTTTATTTTTATAATTGCGATCAGACAATTCTAAAACATATATAAAGTTGAACTATTCTAAAACGAAAATTTTATACAATGTTAGAGAAACGAAAGGCGTGAACGAGAGCAAAGGGAATTAGCAAGGCTGGCGGCTAAAGAGGCTGGACTTGGCAGTGAAGAAGGATCCTCAAGAATATCGCGATCTCATTCTATTTCCGACAGCGATACTTATACACAGGTATAAAGGAACCTTCGCTCTATCGATTATAGTTTTGATGCAAGTCGCAGTTACAATAGACTTCAAAACAAAACAAAAAACAAAAACAAAAATTAATACCTATTAATTTTTAATTCTAAAGCACATTGAAGTAGTTGTATTTCTAAATAATGAATATTCCAGATAGAATTTCTGTATAGAAATTGAAAGTCACTGTTATAAATACATCTTCTTCTATTCAATGAGTTATTAGCATATTTTAAAATTTTACACTATGCAATTCCGTGCGTGGAACCTTATATAATAAATATTGTAAATAAAACCTTTGTAGTAAATAATATATTTAATATTACAAATTTCAATTTTTACAATAATGTGTCTAGAAAAAAATATTAACTATTATAAAAAAAAGAAATATATATATATATACGTGAAAGAGTAAAAGAATCGGAAAATCTTTAATAATCAATCAGATAATTCTTCGATAGAACTTTTTTGACAAATAGTTTTAGCCGAAAAATTAGACACTTCTTTAAGAATAATTAGTTGAACTATTTAATACACAACTACATTCTATAATTTGTCTCATATGAGATAACAGTCACATAAAACGATTATACGCGATTGTAAAGCGGCAAATCAACGATTTCTCATAATAAAGTAAGTTTTTGTTCTTAAATCGTGCGTATCCATACGTCCTATCAAGGATCAAAAGAACTCTTGGCAAAGCTGCGAGGAGCTGCGAAAGTATAAGGACAATTACAGCCGTGAGAAGCGCAACCAACAAGTTTGGAAGCATCATCCACTCGACGAGCCAAAGTGTAATATCCAAAAGGAGAGTAAAATGATGGGAAGTAACACCGGGACTCAGCCCCCAATCATAACCCACACGGCAGCCACGCCCCAGGACTCGCCCAACACGACCCTTGATACTGGCTATCGAGACCTCAATTTCCGGGCCATTTACCCAACGACCCTCTCGATCGAATCCATTGATCGATCGTCCGTGAGTTATTTAATCGTAATTGTTTTCTTCGATATTTGTGACAATGCCGCGTTTCAATTAATTATTAAACATTCAAGGAATTTAAACGCCCTACAATCAACGCAATTAATTGAGTAACTTTATTCTAATAAAATCTAAATTTGACAAATAATATCACTATGTAATAAATACTAAGCAAATACGCCTTCGTATCGTAAGAATTTATAAATAATAATATCATATAAGATAATAACATCTTTTTTCTTCAATTAGAATGTAATATTTTTAGTTGCACATTGATTGAAATATAAATGATTCATGATCATAACTATAATTAATATTCTCACTGCTGTACCGCAAACTGTAAGTAAAGATATAAACGATTGATCTAATGTAAAAAATAATCTAGAGACTATCTCTAGTATAATAAAATGTAAGCTTGAAACAATAATTGTATGCTTGATCAACTGTGCAAATTGAAACTATCGGTATATCCAATAAATATAAAAGCTTATAAGTTGGCTGATGAGCTGCTCTTGCTATTTATTCAATTCCTGATCAATTGATAAATACAAATGCGTACAGTTGTCTATAATTTTCATACTTTCGTGAATCATTCGCATGTCTTGGTTGCGCGTCGAACGGCCGACATTACAATATGATCTAAGTTTCTGCTGGCTTACGCATAAAAAATTCCAACAAATCCTTATCAATCTCTCAGTTATTGTATTTCTCTATGGATTCTTCTTTTAATATCTCTTTTAATCTCTTAAATTGACTCGAACACTTTTAACATAACTTCTATTATTTTAGAGATTACGGAAAGTCGACGTTATTCCCGTAATATCGTATCTCGACAATTCGCGATACAAATAAATCTGTTTTACAATGATATATATATATATATATATATATATATATATATAATGACCATTCGAACCCACTAATAGACTTGCTCAATGGGTGATCATGACCGATGACTCGTTAGAATGCAAGTACGCTTTATTGACTACAAGATGAACATTAAATGAGTATTGGTAAAATATTCTTTCACGTATTATTTGCATCAGCTCCAATTTAGTTATACAGATCGAGTAGTATTTTTAAAGAACTTTTACAAAACAATGTCTTTGTCTACCATATACTGTACATATAAAAAGTTGAAATTTTTAAAAGTCATTGAAAATAAATTTTATAGTGGCATCAAATGTATATTAATTAGAATACAAATAAAGCTGTTCCTCCTACTATTCTTCCTAATCATTATGCCTGTAATACTCCCTAGATTATCACTATTAATACAGTTGTTTTTAATGTACAGAGTCAATGCAGCATTTATTCGGGCTTTTTAAAGCCTCCCGACAACAATAATAAAAACACAACAAATAATTTAGTCAGTCAGTCTTCAAGACGCATTAGCCTTGTTACTTCTTCTACTAACTCTTCCACACCGAAAGAAACTTCTACTTCAAGGTATAGTAACATCGTACCCACTGAATGTCTAAATATTAAAGAACTATTATGAAATTTGATTATAACGACGCCTCTGCATACAAATGACAATAATTTATATAATCTTATAATAACGAAACAGATGAATCGATGCTCATGCAAGTAACATTTTTATTTCAAAATTATGTTCATATAGCTAATTATGTTTATAAGATAAAAGTATACATAAATGAATAAATATTATTTTCAATGTATAAATATTATTTAAAAATTATTTTAAATAAGTAATAATTGATTATTAAAATACGAGTATATTATAATTTTTATAGAACATTAAAAGTACACAGCTATGAACAAATTAATTTCCATTCAATTTGAAATGCACATACGTATAAAATTTTTTTCGAATGAATTAGTTTTAATCAGATTATATGTTGTCAAAAGTGAAAAATTAATGAAAAAAACAGAAATTTTTAAATGTATGCTAATTAAAGAGCAACTAATTTGGAACAAAATGTAATCAATGAAATAAAGCATAATCAAGAGTAATTATCCACATCCGTTCTTATATTTCAATTAGTCCGCCGAGGATCCAAAGAGGATATTCTTGGCGTTTATCAAGGCCTTCTTTAAGAAAAAAAAGGTGGTCTCAGTGGGAAGAGGAATCACCAGGACGAGCTACGATCCTCAACAATGGAAGGAACAACGTTGGTCACAAATCCTTGTAAGTTTCCTTTTAATCGCATTAAATTAGCTTAACATACTTTATACTTCTCATTTCGCTTACAAGCTTAAGTAAACTTCCATAATGTATTTTATCCTATTTGTTACAACAAAGTGACACAGATACTTTTTCTAGAATAAAATGAAAATATATATAATACATTTGATAACTTAAGTGAATCTAAATTCCAGAAGGTCGTATTGTGATTATCATTTTAATAAATCCTTTTATAAATAGCTTCTATAGATATAAATATTTTAGTTAAAGTGCTTATGTAGTTGTCGCAAAATATATCTCTTCAAATCATATTGAATTATATCATAAATGATGCTAAATTTAAAAATTAAAATTTATCCGCTCTTACTATGTACAATAAAAAAAAAACAATTTATTAAAGATTAATTTAATACAAGCCGCATGGGGCAGAATGGATTATATTCGCAATTATTCGTTTAATTGTAGAAGTTGCGGAGATTATACCAATTACAATGGTGGATATCTCCACGGTTCCATAAGAAATGATACTCAACGCGATGTACCGAATAATCGCACAACTGCCATGACAACTAATAACTGTAGCCTTAGTCCCAATAATTCCATAAGGAGTCGCCGATCCTCTATTCATAGGTACACACCAACGTCAAATCAAGTAAGTGATTCCCCATTAGCTCTTAAGTATTATGTTGAATACCGGAAACGTACACACTAACTCCACATACAACTGCGAGTCGATTAATAGATTAGCCATTAACCGTAGCAATAAAACTGAGTGCAAATGCAAGTGAACTCGAGGCATTAGAAGCTGATGAACCGGCACAACAATCCAAATTCAGCAAATGTGATATCCATTTCGATTTCAGATGCGCTGGACAGACGACTTGTCACGCCGAAACTCCCTGCGTGGCTACGAGGGTCTTCAGTCCAGGAAAATCCTGCCTTTCGACGAGATGCCACTGAGTTCGACCCCAAGGACAATCAATAATTTGAGTATCGAGACTGGGCCACTGCCCCGTATAAAGCGCCTTCCGGAGGAGGAGGCCGAACTTAACCTACGAGCCGGGGAACAGACGCCGACATCGAATGGTCAAGGAAGCGCAGGCAGCATCGAACGAATAAAAAAGATTTTCATGTTCTTCGAGCCGAAAGGATGCCTCAAGGAGCGCGACGACTACTCCTTATACTTGTTCCCGCAAAATAATAGGTTTGCTTTTATTTCAATATTAAGATTATCCAAATTATTTCCCTTATATACATGAAATACTTACTTACATTTCTCTTTAGTTAATAAATGGTCTAAATATAGCTTATATAATAGAATATATGTAAAATGTCATTGATATCATTTACGTATAATATATATATATATATATATTTTTTTTTTTTACGCAGCACAATTAATTTCCTAGACAATTGAATTTTTCCAGTTAGTTTCTTCTTCCTTTGCGAAACATTTAATATAACATTGAAATTCATCATTATTATATATGCCGGGAAAAACGTTATAAATGTCAAAGCATTAAAATCGATTTTAAATTAATGAAAATAAAATAAAAAATTTGTATTCCCGTCATATAAAACAACAAAACACTAACCACACTACCTAAATCTTAGATATTACAATCAAAGGTGCATTATTTCATTGTTAAGTGAAAAGAATAGAAAAACTTATAAGCGAAATAATAAAAAGAATATAAGGCTTCGTAAAAGAATTACCAATCCAAATTTATTAAAGGTCTTGATACTTACTAAAGCACGAGTATTTATTATTTTTAATTAAATTACTTACATTTTTAAATCGTGACTCTTAATTATACTATAAGAATTTATTGGTTACAGTTTTACACAAATAAATGATAAATATGAATTGTATATAAATATGAAAATTCAGTAATAAATTTATTATGTTTATTAGTAATGCTAATTTTAAAATAAATGTATTATCATAATAGTAACCGCTTTGGTTAAAATTTGTAATTATAAAATTCTATGATAGAACAATGTAGCCAAATATATATGTTAAAAAAATTTTTATAAAAAGCGTTGCTTGTAAAAAACATTCTTTTAAGCTATTTATATTAAAAATAATAAAATTACTTTTATAGATAATAATGATTACAAAAATAAAATAAATTAAATAATAATTTATACAATGAAAATACATTTCACCGTTTCATTTTTGCGAAATAATAAAAACAAATAGCTGAAATATTTTCAAAGGTATTTACGAAATTTTTTATTATTATTATTGTTGTTATAATGCTATTATTATAAACTACTATCGGTATAAAAAATCGATCTTCAAATAAAGATTGAACAAAGTTTCATTCGTTCATAAAAGTAGTGATATAAAATAAATATTTAAAATAAAGAATATGTTTTTCTTATAAAAATATTGAAATATGTATAAATAGATGAAAGATAAAAAAAAAGTTATAGCAGAATGTATTACGTAAGATATTATTTATGTTAGTTTTTATCAATTGATTTTGTAAAATATAATAACCGAATGTTCAGATTAACCAATGCTTAGTATATACATTTTTTACAGCGATTTCTTCTTATAATAAATAATCATAAAGATTATGTATTTTTGTTTAAGTATACGTAGTTAATATTTTAATAATTTTTTATATTAGAATAAATTATGATTTAGTAGGTTTTTTAATAAATAAGTCACTATTAAAAAGTATGGAAAAATATCTGTTGACTTGAATATGAGTATGAATAATATTTTTTTTATATACATATCAAAATAAATCTAGTTTTATGTAAACGTATTTATTATACATACAATGCAAAAAGGAAGTATCTCACAATAATATTTTTCAGCCTCAAGAAATTATTCTATATATATACTTTATATATATACATATATATATAATTAAATATGTTATAATTGTAATAAATACTTATTTTTAACATTGTTTAACGAAGATTTTCCAAAAATTATCATGGTAGACAGAAAATTTAAACGGCAAATTGTTAAATGTAATAGTGAAACAGTATCGTTGAATTACTTATAAAATGTTTTAGAAGCATTATTTGTATTTTAGTATACAATATTTAATTTTCAGATTTCGTATCTTCTGCCATTGGTTTGTCGAACAAAAATGGTTCGATAATGTGGTACTATTATTTATTGGTTTGAATTGCATAACATTAGCAATGGAACGACCGAACATTCCGCCCGACAGTAAAGAGAGAATTTTCCTCGCGAGCGCCAATTATATTTTTACTGCTGTTTTTGCTGTGGAAATGTTTGTAAAGGTAACATGCATTTTTATGTAAATCTCTATATTAAAAAATAAAAATAAAAATACTGAAAACAAATATTTTTATTCGGATTTCAAGTTGAAATTTTACTTTTATAATTGGGTTACTTTGTTGATTACATTTATCAATTATGAATTTATTATTTTATATTTAGCAATTGAACATATATTTTTCTTAGTTAGAAGAGCTTTTTGCATGCAACTGCATTAGGTCTACCGTATATTATTCACAACAATAAATTTTTTTAAATCAATTGATGTTGGTAATTTAAATATTTTTTTTTTTAAATTAAAAAGAAAATCTAACGCAAAATATTAACACAAGACAATTTTATTTATAATTATTTATGATATTTTCAAACAACATTCACAAGTATATTATTAAGTATATCTTATGATACACAAATATAACAGAATTATTAAAGTATAACATTAATTTTTTAGAAGTTCAAACGTCTGTCTTCAAGTCAGTTTGTAAAATAGCAGTGATGTTACGGTGTAATGAAAAATAATTATATTTATTTAAACAGTTTTTACATAACAATATTAGATTTGAGAAGAAAATTTTTTATGTCTGCATAATATATTTCTCGATTTGTATAAGATGCCCTATCGATATAATATCGGTAGACATCAATTTGTTTTTATCATCGAACATTCTCTGAAATACTGCTATTTGCAAATTATTTATATAAATGTATTGATGAATTTTTAATACGTGAAAAAATTAAAATATTAATTTTTTAGATGAAAAACAACATAGAAACCATAATTCCTTATAACTATCGCATAATAGAATGAGAAAGAAAATTTTTTTCAAACTAATGCTAAAGTTACTAAAAATTATATTCAATTTATTTCATTTTATTAACGCGTCGACAATTTGTTTCGTGCACAGGTTGTTGCTACTGGCATGCTTTATGGTACAAACGCTTACTTTACATCAGGATGGAATATAATGGATGGATCACTTGTGGTAATTTCCATAATCGATCTTGGCATGTCTCTCCTTTCTTCGAGCAGTCCACGAATATTTGGCATATTGAGGGTAAGAATAATTTATTCAATTATTATGATTGTCATGATGGAGAGCTTTTATGTTGCTCTTTGATAATAACGTCAAATATTATTTTATGAATACGATGAGATAAGATTATTGTTATGATCTTGTTCGATTTATTACTTATAAGAAAATTTGTATGCATATTATTAAGCAATATATAACTGTGCAGTGTCATTCGTCATTTTATAGTTAATCAATATTTTATTAATTGTGACTTTTATTTTATATAGAGTATTGTACTTGGAAAATAACTGCCATTGGATACTTATAATGATATGATTCCCGTCATAATTATCATTTTATTCAATTTCCTTATATTGTATATTTATATTTAATAGTTTAATTTTAATTATAATTACAAAAAAATAAAAATGCATAATCATTTTATCGTTAGTTCAATATTCGAGCGTTCGATATGTATTTTCAATTTTTATTAAATATTGTGCAGCTAACAAAAATAAAATGTAGATCAATTTTTTCAAATATATTTTAATAATACCACAAGAGCTGAAGATTTGAGAAAATTACTTAACTAAATCTTAATTAGAAATTAAATATACAAAATGGTTCTTCCTCCTCCATCAAGCATACAGACAAATTTTCTTAATAATTCGATAAAAAAATATTTTATGATGCACGGTTTTTAAAATCAAAAACTTAAACAAAATATGAAAAATAAGAAAGTTCATAAAATATAAAGTGAAATATAATTTTTGCAAATTTGAAAGAATTTGAAGACTTTTCCAAATATAATCCTAGGATAATTGTAAAATTCTTTATTATTTATTAGTTGCTACGAAAATGATATCATTATCTTAAATTTAATAAAATCACTAACCATATTATTACATACCAAAACCACTTGACTTGACAATTAAAAAATGTAAAAACTTTTTGTCCAACGAACGTCAAGTGGATCAAATAACCTTGTCTTAAGCTCCGTGTCAACCTTCCGACATAAGTTTCTGCATTTGATTGGTTAGGTGTTCCGGCTGCTGAGGTCATTGAGACCGTTGCGCGTAATTAATCGAGCCCCGGGCTTAAAACTCGTCGTGCAGACGCTCCTATCGTCGCTGAGACCCATCGGCAACATCGTCCTCATTTGCTGCACATTCTTTGTCATCTTTGGCATCCTCGGCGTGCAGCTCTTCAAGGGCGCATTCTACTATTGCGAGGGCCCGGACATCAAAAACGTGCGCAACAAAACCGACTGCCTGACCGACAAGCGCAACCTCTGGCTCAACAGAAAGTATAACTTTGACGATCTCGGCAAGGCGCTCATGTCGCTTTTTGTTCTTTCCTCGCGGGACGGCTGGGTGAACATTATGTATACGGGCTTGGATGCCGTTGGGGTCGATCAACAGGTACGACTGTCTATATTACACTGTATGAGCCGAGGAGGCTTTGTCCACATTGTCGAAATTATGAGAGCTCAAGTACTGTCCTGTCGGCATAAGCCTTTTGGAACTCGAGGCATAAGAGTTTGGAAACATATCCTACTTTGTCTATACTTTTTATCACGATCGATCGTTAATATATCTTTTCGTTTAAAAAATTTTACTTTAACAAATCTCATTAATGATTTTGTGTAATGATCAATTTCAGCGGATATGTAAAAATGTAGGACCTGAATTTTTTTGAAAATTCAGATAAATTAAGAGCTAAAGTACTATCAAACTTTTAGTATAGTTTTTTGCTTAAAATAATTTAAACAAAAGTTAAATCTTTCCGTCGGTATTATTTGAAATTAGGTCGAGTCAATTGTAAAAAGCCATGTATATTCTATTCTTAAAAAATAAGAATTTTTTATCCTATGTAATCATATTCTATGATAATACAAAATCTTTGATTTTTATTTTCAGTAAACAGAGCTTAAGAAACTTTTAATGCATGTAAAACTTCCTCGTACTCAAAATGAACTATATTATAGTCGTTACATTCAACTGATATTTCTAACACATGTAAACTATTAAAATTAAATTAACTTTGGAGAAGTTATTAAATTGGATAAAATCAAATAATTGATTATGACATTAAAACAATATATCAAACGCAAAATAATTCCATAATTATATAAATAATTCCACATTTCTTATTGGATATTAGATGAAATTTCATATTTTTTTATATTTTAATTCTAATTTTAATGATTTTATATGGTATTTGTTACACATAGTCAAATAATTATTTACGGCGTTGATTTTTTTTTTATATATATAAAAATTTCATTAACATAATATATTATTTAAATATATTAATGTAAATGATAACTCTTCAATTATATATATATATATATATATTGATTTATTGATTTATTTATTGTACAATTGTCCTTTTTTATGTTCATTTCTAGTTGTTAATAGAAAGACTAATTGTTGTAAGATAAATATTTATAATTAATGGACGTTTATACGTGTAAATTAATTTAACTTATTACTACATAAGACGCTTTTTTGCTTAGCCAATTGAAAATTATTCTGAATGGAGACTACTCTATTTCATCGCTTTCATCTTATTGGTTGGGTTTTTCGTTTTAAATATGTTTGTTGGTGTCGTTGTTGAAAATTTTCACCGATGCCGAGAAGAGCAAGAAAAGGAAGAAAGAGTAAGAAGAGCTGCTAAACGTGCATTGCAAATGGAGAAGAAAAGAAGAAGTGAGTTGTGGATTATTTCTATATAAAATAGCCCTCGTTATAGAATTGTATCGATTAAGACTATTTTGTTGCAATTGCTAATTAAGTCGTAATATTGTAAAATTTAAAAGAAAAAAAAGGAGTCTACTTTTGTATTCTATTTAGTTAGTATTCTATATAGTTCAATATTTCGAGTGTGAATTTATTACAAGAAATACGTGAATTACGTGCATATAGTTATGGCGCACGTAAGCTGCATTAATAATCTTATGTTTACAGAAATGCACGAACCGCCTTATTATACTAATTACTCAAAATCGCGCCTCTTCGTCCACAACGTTGTTACATCCAAGTACTTTGACCTCGCGATAGCGGCTGTGATTGGTTTGAATGTCGTTACAATGGCGATGGAATTTTATATGATGCCAAAAGCCTTGACCTACGCTTTAAAGATATTTAATTATTTCTTTACGGCCGTTTTCATTCTCGAATCTTTCATGAAGCTACTGGCACTTGGACTACATTTGTACCTAAAGGACAAGTCAGTAAACATACATTTCACCAAACGACGTACTTACTTTTTATGACATGTATGATTCAATGTTATCTTTATAGATGGAATCAACTGGACATTGGTATTGTCATACTCTCGGTTGTCGGCATCGTTCTTGAAGAAGTCGAGTCCAAAATAATTCCAATAAATCCAACGATCATTCGCGTTATGAGAGTTCTGAGAATAGCGAGAGGTTGTGCTATTGCTATTTATTAAAAATCATTATTTCCTTCTTGTCCATCAAAATTACACCTGCATTATCGTTTATTTTCATTTTTAGTATTAAAGCTGCTAAAAATGGCAAAGGGGATACGCGCTTTACTGGATACAGTGATGCAAGCATTACCGCAAGTTGGAAATCTCGGTCTATTATTTTTCCTATTATTCTTTATATTTGCAGCACTTGGAGTCGAACTTTTCGGTCGATTAGGTAAGTCGCACTCAAATTTTCATAATAATTTATAAGCTTTTAACATTTTCGAAATTTTAGTAATACGACATTGTAACGAAATATTATTACAAAAGTTGACCAAAAGTGCATTGCAAATAACAATAGCTCGAGACTCATTAAAAAACGTATAAAAAATATTATATATTTCGCATAATCATCTCGTAAAATCTCATTGTCCGGGCAAGTGGTCAGAAAATTTTAGTGGCTTCGTTTGAAAAATTAATGCTTGTAAAGCAGGCATTATTTGAGCTACTTCGCGACACAAGTTTTTTCAATTTGTCCGCAGAATGCAGCGATGAGATGCCGTGCCAAGGTCTGGGCGAGCACGCGCACTTCAGTAATTTCGGGATGGCTTTCCTCACTCTGTTTAGGGTGGCGACGGGCGACAATTGGAATGGTATCATGAAGGACACTCTGAGGGACAATTGCGATGACGCCGCAGACTGTGTAAAAAACTGCTGCGTCAGCAACGTTATAGCGCCCATATTCTTCGTTATTTTCGTCCTTATGGCGCAGTTCGTCCTGGTTAACGTCGTCGTGGCCGTTTTAATGAAGCATCTCGAGGAGAGTCATAAGCAGGTAAGCCTTTGTTATCTTTTTGACGAAGAATGCTTGAAATAGTCTCGAGCATTTTTCTGCTTCCTAATCGTCGCAGAAAAATAGTTACACGAATCGGTCGGTCGTTCGCGTCTCCTTACTGCTGTAAACGAATTCTTAAATTTGCGCAATGTTCGACCAAAGCTTGGATGAAAGTAATTTTGACATCCAATTACTAATGATTAAACATACGTGGCGAATGAAAATGAAGAACTGAACGTACCAAAAAAGTGATATACGTTTATTTTATGTCTTTCAACGGTCGATACATGCCCACTATTTATCAATATGAACAACAACATTTTATAGCGAGCCTAACGAAACTGCCGAGAAAGGCGACTTGATAATTGAAAGATAATGGAAGCGTCGAATTGGGAACGACTTATGTAAAATTAACCTCGGACGTACATTTGAAATGGCAATAAAATTCTGAGGACGCATAATTGTGCCCTTGTTCAAGATGGAGGATGAGCTCGACATGGAGACGCAACTGGAGCGCGAATTCGCGGCCGAACAGGAGGAACTTCTCGAGGTGGAGGAAGAGGAGGAAGAGGAGGAGGATGACGACGATGGTGACAGAAACATGGAGGATGTCGCGAAGAAAAAGGATAAGGAGGCTTTGGAGGAGAAATCGGAAAAAGAACAGGAGCTCGATCAAGAAGGAAGCGACGATTTTTCCGGAGCACGAGCGGGCCTCTCAAAAGTCCGATCGCTGCCCTCAAATTTCACATATAATCCACCAATGGAAATGGAAAAAACTAGCGATGGTAGGCTCCATTAAATCCTCACGATACTTCTCTTTTTTATTACCCATAATTAATCATATTAATTATATTTCGTAATTCCGTGCTTATTGCAGCTCATATGAATTTATTTCTTCTTATAGAAATTATAATTTTTAAAAAGTTGTAATTTTTTTTACAGAAGACTTAATTTTATCAACAAATGGTTTATCGACTTCGATGATAGATTTTCATTTTTTAAAATTTCTCTCCTTATCCGACCTTATTGAAGGTAAAATCAATAAGTGTCAGGCTGCTCTCTGACGGTGTTTTTATTAAGAAATAAGAATCAATAAAAGTCTCAAATCCGTATTTCATTATAAAAATTGTAATGTAAAAATTTGAAACAGTATTCTCAGCCTTTCTGATGAATATGTCATTCTTTGTTTTTTAAATATTTATAATATTATCAAACATTCCCAATGATTCAACATGAGGCTTTTATCGATAAAGTTATTACTTTTTAATTTGCTTAAAAACAAAACAAAAAAAAAACAAAAAAAACTTACGCCTCATAATATATTATTGTTTTTATTATTTGTAAATTTATAAAATTTTATCAAATAGTTTTTATCACGGAAATCTCATTTGCAGCAATGTAAATGCTCATTTGTGTATGTTTAATACAGGCCTATCTTGTACTGTAAAGATGTGTTCACGCATAAGTGCGACGTGTTAGTTATTTTTTACAATACATGCACATATTACATGGAGTCCGAAGTGGTTTATTTATTCAATGAAGAAGAAGAATTTTTAATGCACTCCACTATATTTAAACTCCTTGTTTACTCTGGCTTATACAAGCAGGAGCCGAAAACTTATACCCGATAAACAATAGCACAGTGATGCCACAGAGATTCCCTGTCGGTCGATACCACAACACAACAACGTTATAAACCTTTAAATAACGCCAACACAAAATACAATTCCAGCTGCGCGGATACGCGAAAACTTTGGAAAAAGAATATGTAATCCCAATAATGAGGAGTAGGTATAATAAAAATTCAGTTTTTTTTTTTTTTTTTAATTGATCCGAGGCGAAATAAAATACACTCCCGCGCGATGAATCTTCTCCTTACTATCAAAACTCATACAGAATTCATATGAAAGTAAAAAATTTATTCTAAAATTACACGCGTCAACGTGAATTTATGCGCGGACTCGGTAACTGCCAGGGAGGAGCCTCGAATAAATGCCACTTCGGGCAGGAGGGTTTACACTGCACACGAGATTGTGAATGTAGCAAGGTCTTGCTGCTAGTGCACACACCCGACTTCATGCGGCACGAACAATAGGATGTAAAAGGGGAAGGAGCACAAACTAATGAGCTCGCTCTACCAAAAACCCAACAGACGCATCTGTGTCAACGATGGACGACAGCCGACGCTCGACGAGCCAACAGCAGCACGGCGGCTCCGCCAAGCCCTCCAAATTCAAAGTGAAGCGCCGCCAGACTTTCCACTCCCAGCATCGACAGATCGGCATGTTCACGACGCCGCCCATGCACTTCGAGGTAGCGGAGCTGATAAGGAAGCCGGTGAGCAACCTGAGCGTGCCTCGCATAATACCACAACGCAGCTCTGCCTCGTCCTCAACCTCCATGAGTCATAGCAGCGCGAGGTTCCAGGTCCCACGCTCCTTCCTCGATGTCGGCAACCCCTTGCGGCCCGTCTCCGTCGAGTCCGTGCTCCAGCACAGGCCGTCTTGCACCTCGACATCGAGCAACATCGCCGACAGCAGCCACGGCTATACGCAAAAAAACTACCTCTGCCCGATGTCGGATCTCGGCTCGGCCAAGGCCAGAATACCCACGCCCGAGTTTTACTCCTCCGAGACCAGTCCCAGGTTAGCTTGCAAACGTTGCAAAAACAAAACAAAAACAAAAAAAAAAACGAAAAAGAAAAGACCTTGTGATATTCCAGCGCACAGAACCCGTCGTCACACACTTCCCAGAGTCTATTTACTTTTTCAAAATTATGTAATAAGTGAAACGGCTTCTCTATAAGCTCTGCTTCTAAATTCTTACGCGCAAGCTTCTACATTCAGTATTTTGACGATAAATGTCGGTGAAAAGCTTCAATTCTGAATGCGCAGTCTAAAAATATCGTTTTTAATAAGTATTTCCTTGACTCGCGGCAAAAAAAAACCTTAAATACGATTAAATTATAAGGGCATGGGAAGGGAATGTCTGCGCTAAGCTTTCCCGAGATATCGACGAAAAGACTACATGTATCCGAGTCGAGTTTGCTCGACCCACTCCATTATTTATACAGCAATGTGCTGAAACTGTTTATGCGAATTTCAGCGAGTCGAGGTCACCGAGTATCTCCAGCTACGGGATCGGCAGCGTGACGTACGTTCGCCGTGATACGACGAAGGACGATAAGGCGAGCATGACGGAGGCCCAGGACGTCGACGTCCAGTCGGTGATAAACGAGAGGCGGTCCCCGAGGCTCAAGCCCATCGTCGCCACCGCGTTCACCTACGAGCAGACCCGCGAGGGCGGCCAGAGGTCCGAGGCCAAGTCCGAAGCTCAGCCCGAGAAGGAGGTGATAAGGCCGGAGCCAGGAGCCGAGAAGATAGCCGATGGAGAGGGGAAGAGGGAGGGAGAAAAGCGTCAGTACGTGAGCGTCGGAGTTGGGCCGAGCTGCGTCGAGCTGCGCATTTTCGTGGACGAGACGCAGGAAGAAGAGACGCGACCCGGCGAGTCCGAGCTCGTGTTCGACGTCGACGATAAGCTTAAGGCCGTACGGTGCGACATCTCGGCGGCGAACCTTCGCTCGTAAAGGGTCGGCTTTGCTCGTGCCCGTTCATCCTTTCGGCGATCCTTTAGTTTTCAATTGGAAGGCGACGTGCGAGCTTCTCGGTGTTTCGAGGAGTCCTAACAACTAGCCGACCTAACAACTGCTCGCCGACTCCGCGGGCCTTGACGCATTTTAACGTCTCACCTTTATTTCTTGGCCCTTTATTGAATGTATCCAGAGGCAATTGAGAGGCGTATTACAAGCTGCGGCTTGTCTTTCTTTTTAATATAAATTAATAATTTTAATAATGTAACATTTGTTTGAGTTTGCAGTATTATACGGATAGCAATTGGAAATTTAGTGGTTGGCCAATGTGTGGATAATTTAATTAATGAAAATTTTAGTTTATTTCCAAATAAATTCTCGTCCTTAGTGCGGCACCTACCTGATAATATATCAGTTTATCCGTAAATGATTTTAGAAGGTAATGTTAAGAAAAGTAAAAGGCACTACATAGTTACTTAGATATTTAAGTACAGTGGCTCAACTCTTTAAACTTTTTCATTATTAGTTATAATTACAAAACCAGAAATACTCTAGAAAATTATAATGATACTTTGTCTATGTGTGAATAGATAATCTTTATCTACTTTTATACTCTTTAATTAAAAATATTCGTTAAAGTGAATGTAACTGATCATCTCATAATTGGTTCTAATTGAGAAATTTTTTGTATCAATATAAAGTATAGTATAATTATTTCATATTTTTAACCGTTTGCTTTTACATCTTCTTTTCAGTAGTAGGTGTAATAGTTTTTAATAGTTTAATAGTTAAGTTTAATAGTAGGAGTAACTTCAATAATATAAGACAAGCAATTTATATATCTTTATGTGTCAAATTCATTTTTTTTCTTTTTAAATCAGGACCAATTATCAGAATAAGATCTGTTCGTTTAATCATATTATTGACATTACCTGGAAGTTTTACAAAGGAAAATTATCGTATAATAGGACAAGTGTAAAAGCAACAGCAACAAGAAATTAGCATCCTGAACTTTAATATATCTTTCGCTGTCAAATCTCAATCATGGACTTTCCGAAAAACTATAGTGATGCATGACAATATTGTTGTTGTATATACATACCTTCTTTCATCTTCTATGCCAAATACGGCGAAGCGGCTACTCGTAGATATAAATTTATGAATTAAAGATGGAAAATCCATGGATGACGGAATCGCGTAACTCATGATTATCAAAAAAAAAAAAAAAAAAAAAAAAAAAAAAAAAAAAACGATGTTGGACGACGAATAGAAAAACACACTCGATAGAATATATTAAGTTTTATTTATTTACTTAGCTTACAATTTGATTAAATTTCTATCCAATACTATTTTACAAAGAGCACGAACATTATTCTTGAAAAACAAATCTCTCTCTCTCTCTCTTTTAATTTAATCAGGTTGAAGCAGTTGTTTATAATAGCAATGAGAAATCTTTTTGTATTTCAGAACAGTCGTTTAAATGAAGCATAAACATCCATCATACATTTCAGATAATTACACTGTTTTGTTACTTTGTTATTGCGATTCGCTAACGTTACACGGCGTTGTCACACTCGATGACAATCTTTAACTATTGTTATGGTTGGAAATACTATTCTGGATAAATTTCAGCTTTTATGATAAAGAGTAACGAAATCAATTAATAAATGAGAAGAATTCAATGATGGAATTAGTCCTAATGTTGATTCATTGAGAACGAATAAATGGAAAATACGATAAACGGAACAAAGTAAATGGCCGTTGAAGCTGCCGAAGCAGTAAGTTTCAAATGAATATAATTATAGATACAATCTTAGCGTTTTCGGTCAATATTGACATTATCTGCGTCAATCGGTAATTTCTTAAAAAAACAAAAACTTTATTTATAAAAACCTAGTCGAGATGATCCTTTTTGTTTTTGTAGCGCAAAAAAAACTTTGAATACTAATTAGAAAATTTTCGTTTCACATTAAGAAAAGTACGTGAATATTTTTTGGCAAATATTACTAATTAACAAATCATAAATGATCAGATTGAAAAGTAAATCGTTAAAAAATAAGGACTTCTTGATCATTTACAATGATTAATTATTACATTTTATCATTATAAATGAAAAGAGTAGAGTTATCTTCAAAATATTTAAAATACTATAAAAAGAATTCACTTGTCGAGTACGGAATGCATAATAATTATCCAGGGGGATTGAATTTTATTGAAATAATTGAATTAAATAGAATAATTGTCCGAATTCTCTGTTTTTTCAACAACTTTATATACCGAGATGACCAAAGCCCTATTCAAATGAATTAATAATATTACAAATAATAATAATAATAATAATAACAATAATAATAATAATATTAATAATAATAATAATAACAATAATAACAACAAAAATAATCATAATAATCATAATAATAATAACAATATCGTTGATGATGATTTTGATGATAATGATGATGATGACGACGACGACGACGACGACGATGATGATGATGATGATGATGATGATGATGATGATGATGATGATGATGATGATGATGATGATGATGATGATGATGATGATGATGATGATGATGATGATGATGATGATGATGATGATGATGATGATGATGATGATGATGATGATGATGATGATGATGATGATGATGATGATGATGATGATGATGATGATGATGATGATGATGATGATGATGATGATGATGATGATGATGATGATGATGATGATGATGATGATGATGATGATGATGATGATGATGATGATGATGATGATGATGATGATGATGATGATGATGATGATGATGATGATGATGATGATGATGATGATGATGATGATGATGATGATGATGATGATGATGATGATGATGATGATGATGATGATGATGATGATGATGATGATGATGATGATGATGATGATGATGATGATGATGATGATGATGATGATGATGATGATGATGATGATGATGATGATGATGATGATGATGATGATGATGATGATGATGATGATGATGATGATGATGATGATGATGATGATGATGATGATGATGATGATGATGATGATGATGATGATGATGATGATGATGATGATGATGATGATGATGATGATGATGATGATGATGATGATGATGATGATGATGATGATGATGATGATGATGATGATGATGATGATGATGATGATGATGATGATGATGATGATGATGATGATGATGATGATGATGATGATGATGATGATGATGATGATGATGATGATGATGATGATGATGATGATGATGATGATGATGATGATGATGATGATGATGATTACGACGACGATGATGATTACGATGATGATGATGATGGTGAGGGAGGGTGGTAACGATAAAAGCAGCGTATTAAAATAATGCAGAACCATAATTCTCAATACATGACGATGGAAAGATTAGAGTGAAAAATTAAACGGTAGAGATTACGTAGCAACGCAACATTGACAATTTCAATCGAAAGTTTTTCTCCAGATAAAATCCATAATTAAAAGTGCGCGTGAAATTATGTATTGCAGGCGACGGTCTAATCGTTATAAAATTTTCCATTACAATTTCCATCCTCGCGACGATGTTCACGACCGAGGACACTCGGAGTCTCGGGATTTATTTTCCAAGTAGCAAAAACTAAAGCCAATTAGACGGAATTACAATAATGAAAACTTATTCTCGGAATTTTTCTACACAATCTTAAGTAGCGGGAGAATGTCGTCGGCGACAGCGCATCCATCGATGCCTACAATTTCCTCTCCCTCGGAGCAATAACCTTTTCCAATAGATACCGTTGATATCACCAGAGCTTAAAGCATAACCGAGCCCACTTGTAAGCTCCCAAGACGAGTGAAATGGAAGTTTGTTTTACATTAGACGTCGCATTTAGCAAATAATCGTCGGATCGAACGTTTGAGATAATTGCCCTGTCACTTTTCTACAGAATTTTTGAAACTTTTCTGAAATTTTACAACTTTACATAGAGGAAAAGTACTTCCGAGACTTTGATCTTTGAAACTCTAAAACTTCTCACGAACAAAAAGAATAAATATAAATCTTATGCCATTTGCGTGCTCCGATACTTCATCGAGATGACTAGTTCAAATTCTTCGTTCTACTCTGCTTTTACTTCGTAGAGAGTTTTTTATTAACATCTGTGATATATATTTTAATTATAGCGTGTTGTTTCCTCATAACAAAACATGGCGGATATATTATGAGAAAAAAGAAGAAAAAATAAATAAATTTTAACTAGCAACAGCTAAGTAGTCGTATTAGCGTAAATTTTTAATAAAACTAGATCTAGAGAATTTAAATGAAAACCAAAACGAGAGTAAAAAGGAACGAGAAAGACGTAGAAAAAAAAAAAACAAAAAAAAAATATATATATATATATATATATATATATATACATTACACTAGCGCGGGCGCGCGTATGACCGATCTAACGTTAAAGATAGAAAATTCTTTGTACATATGTGTACAATAATCTATTCTATACACTTGGTGTGATTTATTTTGATACTATATACAGCATACTTAATGATTATCGAGTATAAAGAGAAAACTATATGCCTTCACAAACGTTCACGAACCTTCGGCCGGTCGTGGTGCCACTGGTTAAATATGTCAAATTTAAAAGAACAAGTCTTTTTCGTGTGAAATAATGTTAACGATAGTATCGCTAATACACAAATGATAAAGAATGATTAATATTCTATTTAACTAAGAATTTGTAAACTCTCTTAACTCTAGATATTTATAAAACTATCGATAAATTTGCCATTATTTTTGGATTTTTGCTCTTGTCGATAATATTCATGTATAAATTTATATTTGTATTACTTTAATATTTATATTATGTTAATGATATAATAATACTAGAATAATAATAGTAGAAAATTAAGCGCCAAGTCGTATTGCCCCTAATGTATAATTGTTACGTAGCTGATGAATAGCAGTCGAATCGTTAATTTTCCATTAGTGTCCGCTGTTCACATAAACATTTCACAAGCCACAAAAGCAAAAGCGAGATGGGCAAAAAATTAAAGAACATTATGTCATCGTCGTTTCGATAAAGCTACAATGAAGATCCTTTAGCTCATCTCAAGCAGGCGTAAATCTCGATTCTTCGTACGAAAATGATTTTAATTATTTAAAAGCTTGTAAATAAAGATCAAGAGTTTTTTATGCCAATAAAGTGTAAAAAAGATTCGTGTACCCAAATAAAATCATAGTCTATGTTTTTAAATAATAAATTAATGCATAGTTAACATTAAATATTAAGCTTCGATAGGACTCTTTAAACTGTTCCGTTAATAATTCAATTTTATGACTGACTATGTGTAAATATTTTGTAAATATATTATGTTCATTTAATAGACTTTTTTAAGTGAATAGGTAATGTTGCTAAACTAATTTTAAAAATTGTTGTGACGAATCATTGAGCAAGTGTAAAAATGTGCACTGCATACATCTAAACAATGTCCAGGAAACGCGTGCACGAGTCCACTGAAAGTTCATCAAACATTTTAAAAATCATGCTCTCGATTTCACCTTGCCTGCCTCTTATTATTGTCTAATTACACTTACAATTAATTTACGATTACTATTGTTCATCTTATAAAAACTTGTGTAAATTAACTTTGTTATATTTTGTAAAATGGTATTATTGTTAAAAATATAAATGTAACGCGCGTAATGCAGCAAATAGTTGGGAGCTAAGAATTAATTACGGCGGCAAAGTATTAATTTTTATCGTATTTGCTCCAACATTCACCTTCGTTTACATTATCATTATTATTCACACTCGATATACAAATTTACAAAACTAGTCAGTGGCGTCTTTTAAATATTTTGAATAACAGATTTGTAGGATCCTTAAATCTTAAGTTTTTTTTTAATCGAACAGTTTGACAATCATTTTCTTAAACTGCTAAACCAACTGTACGTTATATGAAAATTTTCGTGTACAGCGTGAATGGTCTCTTGTAAAAAAAAAAAAAGAAAAAAAAACAAACAAACAAACAAACAAACAAACAAACATATAATGAAGGTCGGTGATTAACCTTTGGTTGGTTAACCTTATTTTTTCCCCGCAAACTTCGTGCATAAGTTTAAAGGTGAATTAGTTATTCACAACATGGCACCACAATCCGAATCTCGATAGCTCGATATAGCGTTAGACGACTGACCTCCGAATTATCTACAGTGCAACGTAAGTGCAAGACGCCGATTTACCGCAGTTCTATTATAAGAGGGCTTCATGATAAAGAAAGAAAGCATTTGGCACGACACCTCTATCGAATACTTGTGCGAGATAAACGTGCCTCTCCGGCCATTCTCTTTCGTTTAGATTATCACTACTTACTTACAATATTTACAGCGAGTATAGGGACAACGGCATCAGGCAATGATAATGAACAGGAAACCGTGAACAATAAGCATTATAATGAATTGTAAGATATAAGAAGAAAAGCGGTAATATTAGCGACGAGTGTCGAATAATCGTTTGCGTACGACGGACATTAAAACAGACAAAAACAAAAAGAAAGACAAAAATTATAAAAATAACGTTAACATCGATCTATACTTTGCGGCTCTTCTCTGGCATGGCAGCATAACGTATTAGATAAAAATTATGAGGACCTGAGAAATAATGCAAACACGTCGATAGATATTGTAAACTATATTATTTAAGAAGATAAGCAACAACAAACAAACAAACAAACAAACAAAACAAAACAAAACGAAACAAAAAAAAACAAAAAACAAAAAACAAAAAAAAAATAAAATACAAAAAAAAAAACAATCAATACATATAACAATAGAACATTAAGCGCAAAATCGTATTGCACTTTTGTTGGTACGTCGTTTAAATTTTATCCATGAAGTTGGATTATATAAATAACGTAAAGAGTTTGATTAAAAATTAATAAAAATGATTAATAAATTACAAAAATCTATATAAATATATGTATATTTCGAAGGACAGTTTTATTAATTAACTGCCTCGCCATCGCAGTTCGCGCACTATTTTACGTACATTTAGCGAACTAATAAAAGAACATAAACAAAGCGTAGTTTGGTCTCATGAGTATTTAAGGTAAATAAAACTATTTGAATGGCATATGCGCAGTATAGCGAAATTTTACGATCCTACATGGATTCCAAAGAATTTAACGAGTGTGTGAGAATGCGGGCCGGTGAGAGATGACTAAAAATAATACGAGAATGAGTGATGCAAGCACGAGACTCGTACGAGAAAACTCAAAACTCAATACATAGGCGACATAATTAATAATGTGTATGAACTGTACAAAGATAAAATATATATATATATATATTGAATGAAGATTACGTTAAATTTCGACTACTTTACTTCCTACACCCGCATGTACATGGAATACCATGAAATGGTCTTTCTTTGTGCGCTTCAACGCGACAAGCCAACAAAGATATTTCACCGACGATCGTGTGTGCTTTCGGATAACCGTTGAAGCATCGATTCAGCATCAGGTGCAATTTAATATTAACCATTAATTTAACCATTAATATTAACAATTAATCATCGCCAATGTTGTAATAATTAATCGTTCGTTTAAAAGAAAAAAAAAAAATATATATATATATAATGGCAAACTTCGAGCAGAAGAAAATTTTTTCTATTAGAATATATTATGTTTACATTGATAAAATATTAAATTATATCCAATTATGTTTCTATTAATATAATACAGCTTTTTATATTAATTTTCGGGATATTATTGTTGTACGAGAGCTCCATGAACTCGAAATCTATAGACACACGTATAATTATAATTACCATTATTGGATAAAATATTCAACTCGATCATTTCATACGGTATGCGTGGGACATTCTGTAATATTTCATGAAACGTTAGGAATTTATTAGAAATTAAGGATGAGAAGAAATGGATTAAACGTTAGATATTTACTTGGACGTCGAAGTATTGGACTGCAGGCCCAAAACTATTGTACGTGTATTTACCGAGTAAGAATCCACGTTCGTCACTATCACTATCTAAGCCCTAAATAACGTTAAAAAAGAAAAGCTTTATTAATAAGAAATAAGAGGCAAGAGAAAACAAAAGGGTGACAAAAAGAACTAACCCTGATTGAAAAATCTTTTGGAGCACTGGTAATATCACCGTTTGGTGAAATGGATTGTGGTATATGTTCAAGACTAACTCCAGAAATCAGAACATTGCCGGATAACTTTATCACGACTGTACCTTTATTACCTTTGAAGGCCCAACATTCTCCAGGCTGCACACCTGCCTATTAGAAAAATTGTAAATGTCGGCTTAATTTTTCTCTCCTTAATTACGTTGGCAAGAGTTGCAAGCAACTGCAAGCTTACACAAGCTAAAGAATATTATTGTATTTTTTAAATAAAGTAAATCATTCATTTCCACACTCCCCCCATCTACTCGTACTAATTTATAGAATGAAAAATAAAATTAATAATATTATATCACAGTTTAAGGATATCCGTTTGCTACTCTGCGCTCATACTCGTGAGTCTGTAACCCGCGCGTATTGTGTGGGTGTGTGCGCGTTGGGGGGGGGGGGCTGACTATGTCTGGAAATGAAAATATCGATTATTACGTAATGTCGTATTTTTATTTTCCAAGCTTACCGATTCTCAAATGAAAATCTAAATTTACAGAGAACTTTTTCAAAACGAATTGCACTCGGCAATATGTACATGTTGTTAGAGAAGCGATCTTCGTGTAGTAAATCTGTTAAAAGTTATATAAAAAAAAAAAAAAAAAAAAAAAAAAAAAAAAAAAAAAAAAAAAAAAAAAAGATCTAAAAATAAAATAACTTTCAAGCTGCCGGCGGTACAACTGTCACTTTACATTTTATTGAATTCATTATCCAAAACAAATACAAATATATCTACGAATATACGTTGAGCGAATGATAATAAATTCCCATCCAGTTGGGATTATGCATTTAAGCATCCACATCTTTAAATAAGAATGATTACTACAGGAAGTTTCTTATTTCCAAATTTCCTTCCAAAATACTCACTATAAAACTGAAATACTCATATAAAATTGAACGAAAACAATATGAGCTGATCTCATTTCAAATATAATTTTAGCTATTTCAAAGAGTAAGTCTCACTACCTATGATATCAATAAATTAATTATAGCATAGTGTCTGTAGATAGTAATCAAATTTATCGAACAACATATTATGGCTCACAACAACATAACAATGTTCGTTGAGTTCATGCAAAATTGAGTAAATTTTTATGAAAAATTGTAATTAAGTACATTTTTATTGAGCTAAAAAAAACCGAGGCAAATTAAAATTTTCAATGTACTATATATATTATACTGTATTATATTGGTATCATTTAACGTAGTAACTCTACTAAATATAAGTACTTTGCATTATTTTTGGTTTTCTCAATCATTATAATAAACATAGCTAGACTCGTGTCGTACGTAATTAATAATAATAACTAATTAATAATTGATAATCGTAATATTGAATAATAATAGAGTTTTTAAATAGAATTAATGCATTGTCATAAGCTACTATTATCAAATATCTCTACAGACGATTTTTTATTATTCCTTTTATCTTTTTATCCTATCATTTTTCGCATGAGATGGAGAATGATTTGCTCTTATTTTAGGCAAACAATTAAAATTATGACAATAATTGTGACTTAATTTAAAGAATATTAATAATAAATGAAACCTGAATAATTATTCGTGGAATGTTATGCTGTTTACATATAGGAATTCCAAATATACTCATAGTAGGTACGCCAACGAAATAAGTCTCGGTATTTCTTGTAGAAATAATCGAGCCACCTAAATAAATGTTTAGTTTTGAAAATTCAATAGACGTTAAATATTTTGTTGCACTGCTGACCTGAACTTTCAAGTGCAAAATCCGTTTTTCCAGTTTTATCGGCATCGTAGGTTTCCAATTCGGATTTCACTATCTCTTTAACACTGTCCAATGATATAGATTCTAAAAAGAAAATTTGCCTCTTATGATAAAAGATAAATAATATAATTTCCATCCCAATAACTTTAACTATAATATATATGTGTGTGCGCGCGCGCGTGTACTAAAAATGTACTTATTTTTATTATTATTTACACGAGTAGAATATATCTTTACCTTCATATACTTCGTTTCTAAGTTTTAATATCGTATCTGATAAATTACGTAATCTACATTTAATCTCCTTAAAATTATTTTCAATTTCACTATTCGATTCCATTACTACTTTCACTTCGTTCTATATGGAAATTATTCTTTTTAGAAAAATTTATGTTAAATCAAATCATGTTGGAAAAATTGGTATTGATCTGATCTACCGATAATGAGTTCAAATTATTCCCTAATATATTCAAATTACTCCTCAATTTATTCAAATCTGTCTTCATAGCATTCAAATTATTATTACTTGAATATTTTTCAGAAATCTGTGATGTGGATAAAGCTGAAAAATTAATAATAAACTTTACAATCCAATTCATTGAATTGAAAATAAAATACAGATCTGCGAGATTATTAATGTCATGTTGATATAATTGAAACTTACCTAGGATTACCGAAAAAGTAAATGAAATCAATGGTTTGACAATTTTTTGATACCAAGAAGATTTTCGAGACTGGCTTGATTGATTTAGATAATTTCCTGAATTATAATTGCAAGTATTTTGATAATCCATTGAATTTTTTATTATCGTAGTCAATTTTAAACAAATTTCTCTTTGTACTTATTAACATTAAATACAAACCGTTCAATTATTAAACTCGATTTTCAATAAATTTCAACTAACTTCATGCCAATAAACTACACATACGATTTTAATGAAACAAAAAAATATGAAATTATTCGCATATTCACTCAATAAGTCAAGCTTAATGTTACTAAATAAATAAATAAATAAATAAATACTAAATGTTACTAAATAAAAACAATAAATAAATTTTAAAAAAAACATTGTACATAAATAAAGCTTCCATATAATAAATAAATAAACTTAATTTCATCAATTTAATATAGTTAAATATAGTAGTATATTCTTTACAATTTTTACAAGATGATTATTTCCTATACTTTCAGGACGCATTAATTTTTATTGACATAATTAAAATGAATTCCTTATACACAGATAATTATCCGTTTCTAATTGAATGAATAGTACAAATATAAATGAGTTATAAATAAATTTTATTAAAAATATATTCTATTACATGGGGGTAGGTATTGTAGGATACGAGAAATATGTATTCACATTGTGTAAAACAATAGATATTATCGACTACTTTTATTCTTTCTTCTACTCCTCTAATTCTAAAGTTCTTATAAAAACAATGTTTATTTATTTGTTTGTTTGTTTTTTGTTTGTTTGTTTGTTTATATTTTATTATAATAGCAATAGCGTCACTTATATTTATTCATTAAAGTGTTAAGCTACTATGACTGTACAATAATGAATATCGGCTTTCCTTGTAACGTGCATTTATAAAACAAGAGTATCCTAATGTTTATTATCTTCTTTCTTTCACTCTCTTAAGATACTTTTTTCAAAGCTGCGTGAATTCGAACGGTTAAACGACTTTCGAAATCATAATCTTTATATTGTGACAGTGCCCTTTGCAGTACGCATCTCCCTTCCTCAATATTCTGTAAGAGAGAAATTATTCGAATCAACAACTATAGATTATTGAATTACAATATGCCAATGAATTTAAAGATATATACAATTTTTTTGTTTTTTTTTTTTTGTTTTTTTTTGTTTCTTTTTTGTTATACATTATTTAAAAATACTTAACGAATGCAAATGCAATTGACGTGTTATTATACAATCTTAATTGTGAATAGTATAAAATTTTTCAAACAATTTTCAATTCACACTTCATTATCTATGAATTTTCTTTTAAAGAATATCGATACTATCGTACTTTCCATTTTACTTAAATGGACTTCTTAACGTGTTTGTTCTTATTTTAAATATTCTAAATTTATGATTATTTTAATATTTCGAAGGGGCACATTATTATTATATAAGAGCATATTTTAAATGAAAAAATATTTCTATGATAGTAAGCTACACATACACTTTGAATGTACAATATATTGCCAAGTTCATAAAGTGCGAATGCACTAATATGTCGATCCTCGTTATCTTTGGATGGTAATCGTCGTTTTAAACAATTACGATAGCATCTCGCTGCAGCCTCTTTATCTCTAAGGTAAGAATAAGAGATTCCTTCGATTAAATCTGACAAGCCATCCATTGGCTCTTCGAAATAACTATTTTTGCATTCTGAAAAATGACGGATAATTAATTGATTATTGTAATTCTAAAACATAATAATATAACGTACGCAATGGCATTAGACGTTAAATTTCTATTAAAACAAGAAACAAAAACATAAATGAAAAAACAAAAAAACAATTATTACTTTCTTTATTTATTTTTAATTAAATTTATAGATAATTGTGTAAGCTCAGATATATTTACTTATTTCAATGTGATAATTGACTGATATATTCAATTCATCAAATTACCATCAATTATCCATATGATATTAATTATTTTATATTTATGATATCGATATTTCGTTTCAATTTAATGAATTATAGATGTTAAATATATTATATAAGATGCGTATATTACGATTAATATTAATACTATTATTATGATTATATTTAGTCATAAATTAATATATAAAGCAATAATCGAGCTTAAGTTTACTATTAAAAAATTCTTATTTATAATAAAAATAACTACAAAATAATTACAATAGTTTCTTCATTTTGTGGAATCTCTTTAAACTGACGATATATCGTAACGTATAATGTTAACATAATGTTTAAATTAAATTTAATAAATTACACAAAGTAAAAGTAAGCAAGAATAAAAATGTGAATTTCCACATGTATAATCCGTAAAAGTAATTAACTAATTGTATTTTTTGATATTATTAGCGAATATACAAACCAAGTAAAATACTGTTAAGTGATTCATTAGAACAAGAGGGTAATGCGTTCCAAAGATAAAGTAGCTCATAAATGAGAAATTTATAATATGTCGGACTGTATGCGCATCCGTTTTCTTCATTAATGAGTTTTGGCGCTCGCTTGGAAATAAATAAGCCAAGCTGCGTTTCCTTCATTGTACCCTCCATAAAAATTAAAAGCTTTTTATACGTTAGCAGCAAAATGTCCAAATCGCCTTCTGCTCCCGAACAGACTGAAAATTATTAAATCAATTCGTTAATGCAAATCATTGTTACGCCGAGTAAATATAATGAAGATTAATCGTCTTATCATTATGAAAATTCCAATTAATCTTAAGAGTGTAAATTAAATTTTATTGATAAATAAGAAAATCATTGCTTAAAAACGGCTTACATCGTTATATATAACACATAAATAATTATATAAAAATTCATTCGTTATTACGGCTAACAATAAGCCTCTAAACACTTCTTTTACATTGATAATAATAACTACGTGCACTTCGCAATACCCTATGTATCTTAAAATTGTTATTATTACGTAAAGTAACCTATAATACGTATTATCTTATTGCTTAACAATTAAAAACATTTATAAATAATACGTAATAGTATGATAAAGAATGCTCTCGTACATTAGTGAGCAAATGTTAGCATAGGAGTAGAAAGTAATATGAAATGAGATAAGGATTATGAGGATATTATAAGGGACCATCGTAGCAATGTCGTAAATGTCGTATTTATTATAAAATACGTAATCGGATGCATACCAGTGGCAAGATAAGCATAGAAACTCTTGGACCAACGAGATTCTTCCTGCAATGTAGTTAAGGAGCTTTGAGCATCTTTGTAATTAAGGTGAATCAAGTGGCACCAGGCAACCTCGTGCAAACATAGCAATGTCACTTCTCTTTGCGTCGACAATTCCACTGCTTTCTTGTATGCCCTTAGTGCACGGCTGACATTCGACTGAAAATTAAATGAAAAAAAAAAAAAAAAAACAAAACAAAAACAACAAAAACAAAAATAGATGAACAATTTATATTCATCCAAGGCCAATTGAATATCATCGAATCAATTAACAAAAATCTTCCATTTTACGATATTTCGCCTCGTTATAATCGCATTATGATATTCCTCCTTTCTCTTAAAGGCTCGATGATAATATAATTATTATTAAAAAGCAAACAGAGAATAGAGATAAAAGTAAAAGAAAACTTGTAAAGTAAAAAGAAATATGTAGCTTGAATTTTTGAGGTAATATCATAGTGGTTCACGTTTAAACAATTTACTCGATAATTTGTTGAATTATAATTAATAACTTGTATAGCATAGGCTATAGCGATGTGAACATGAACAATTGGCTTATTAATGTTAACGATTAATCAAATATTTATTATTTTCCGTTCACCTGGAGACGTTCGATTCTGCCCACAAAGAACAAAAATAGGGCTGAATTTTCAAATTCAGGACTGCATTCTGCAATTAATTCCTTAGCTGCATCGACGCCAGCCTTGACATTTGAGCCATCGATAGCAAAAAATGGTCTTGCAATAGTATGATACCATAATAGTGATAATCTGTATAAATTATGTATGTGTTATGAAATATTAGAACGAATGTTAATCATAATATGAAGAAAAACATATGATTAATTCAACGGGGCGTTCGCGTCGGCCGTTAAAACTGTTATGCAGATCGAATATCCATTGCAAATTTTTGATTTATTAAATGAAGCAATCCCGACGTAATGAATATTCAACATCTATGCGCATATATTCGATGACACTCCACTCCATTCGTGAATGTCAGCACACATAAACAACATATTCGCAACAGAAGGAATATGCAAATTGCAAAGACAATTTTACCGAATAATGAATATTTATATAAGTTTATAATTATGTTTATTTCACCAATCAACTAGGAGTTTTTCCAAATTTCATTATTTAAATTAATATCCTTTACTATTGCACGTATTGAACAAGCATTGCTAGAAATAAAAATCCATTGACGCAATTACTGCCCAACAACAGCTAATTCATCTAAAATTCGTCTAATATTCATAATAGTCGAATAACAGTGATAATAATAATGGTAATAAGTGACAGTTGCGCAAAGAGTAGTAGCAACTTAAAGATTAAATAAACTAATGAAGTTGAACGTACGTACGTGGCAAGAGGAGCTCGCATGTCCTCGCTCAATCTCGAATACATCAGTGCTGTAAGACCGGCGTGTCTGTCTCCCTCGAAGCCCAAAAAATGGATTAGTTTGAGTAAAGATGGTGGCAATAGACTGACGGACAGCTGAAATATTCCATAGCCGAAGCTAACGGCCGACATTAGCCTCGTAACTTCGGACGGTTCGACAAAGCTGTAAAATCCATAGGAATATTATAATGTCGATTTTCGGTATGACGTACATGACGAGATATTCCAACGAATAGCACGAGTCTCCCTTACATATTGATAAAATGTGGCGGCCATTTTCAATGATTGATTAGCTAAATTAAATTCAAAGCAAATTGCACATTTCGGTAAATAAAAATGACATTTTTCTCAAATTTTTATTCATTATTTATTGGAAAATTAGAGCTTCTGTCGATGGAAGTTAGGATTATTTTTAAATAAATACTAAATTCATGAAATCGCATTGACGATAACATTAATAAAGCTTTTTTTTCTGCTTTGCTCCTTCGTTCCCGTATTTAATAATTGCACGTATTTAAAGATTACCAGAATAATACATGAAATACAATTAAACAATTGATGGAAAATATTTTTACAATTCACAATACATGGAATAAGTACGTAAAATCATCCCAATTTAATGAAGATTTGATTTTTCAATATGTTTTTCTTGAAAATTTTACCAACGCCTGTCACCAACATAATCAAGTATAAATAAATATTTACAAAGACATAGCACAATAATTAACAAGCAATAGGCGTACATTTGAAACTATAACGTTAAAAGAAAGTATAAAGCCATTGATTAAATCATTGATCGCATAAAAAAAAAGAAATTCACAAATTCAACTTAATTTGTTAAAGGTAATTAGTTTATACTGTTGTTCATCTGCGATAATTGTCAAGCTATCGGTAACAATGAGAATATAAATGTCATGCAAGTTTCGTATATCCGAAACTATTTTATAATATCTAATAAAATTAGCGTCTTCGACAATAAAAAGTTAAAGAAATAAGTCAAGATGGACTTTTTCGTATTGTAATTTATCCATAATTATTTAAATTGTGAAAGTATAAGTGTTGTTGTACCTCTGTGGTTGTGTATTGTATACGTGGTGCTCATTTATATATTTTGTATATTCTTTCTCTCTCTCTCTCCGTGTGAATGTGTGTGTGTGTGTGTGTGTGTGTGTGCGTGTGTGTATTTATGATCGTGTGCGTTTATACAGTGGGTAATTATCAAGTGTTGTGTTTGAATATTTATGTTTGAGTCCGTGAATGTGATTAATGCACCCACGCGAGGGAAGTAACTGAAGGCCGTAAAAACACAAGTGTTGCATCACTTTTTGTCCTTTATATATTCGTATGACTGTTTCAGTGAATAGGAATAGTTGAATCTCAGTATGCACATATCCTTATCTCTTATTATATACTTGCGCGCAATAAGGCAAAAAGGACAAATTTTAGAATAAATGTTGTTTCCAAAAAGAAGAAAGAAGCATCCTACAAATTGTTATTCGTAAAACATATTAGCTAAATTAATGTATTAAATTAAATTAAAATTTTCAACATAGATTGTTTATTAAGATAATCGTATTCTGATAATCGTCTTCTTAAATAATTAGATGAATTGTTCAAATATGCGATTAAAATCATGAAGAAGTTTTATTTTACCGCAAAGATTATTTCATTATAAAAATTAAAAAGTGCCATTCTTCATAGATGTTTTTAATGTAATTTTAAGTGAATTTAAAATCAAACGTAAAACAATATATCATTTAGAAAAATAAAGTAAATATTACTTTTTTATTTTAGTTTAATTGCGAATGTACAGTGTGCGGGGATAATAATGGAAATTCGAAATTATTAATTGCTATCGTTGCATGACATGCAGATTATAATTTATTAAAATGCAACTTCAATACAAAAATAGAAAAACGATTGAGTGCGTCGATGGAATCCTCGCAGCCTTTAAGCGCATCGACATTTAACAACCGAATCTCGATAATTAATTAATTTGTTGACAATCTATGTTAATCGATTAGCCATGTGCTTTTGAAAACTTATACTACTACTACTACTACTACTGCTGCTACTACTACGTTGTTGTTTTTGTTGTTGTTGTTGTTGTTGTTGTTTTTGTTGTTGTTGTTGTTGTTATTGTTGTTGTTGTTGTTGTTGTTGTTGTTGTTATAATTTTGTTTTTTAATTAAAACGATATCCAATTCGAAAGTTCAAATCTCTACAACATATAGCAGAATATCATATTTGATCGCAACGATTAATACTAAAAATTAATAATTGAGATGAATAATTTGGACGATCTGTTATAGCATGTAAAAATGCTAGACAAATTCGTATTACGAATATAGAGAATGTCATAATATTAAATATGTTGGCAATTAATTGCTCATAAAAATTTATCGGAACCTTTAAAAATTATACGGCTGTCATTAAAAAACATGATATAGATACGTGATACGAGTTGAAATAAAATTTATGTAAACGTTGATATCATTGTATGATAATCGAAACACTGATTAATTCCTATCAATCTGAAATAAAGAAATGGTAAAAGCAATCGATAAAATAAATTACGCAACAAATTACATGAATACGAATTAGTAATATATTGTATTATATATATATATATATATATATATATATATATATATATATATAATAGTAATAATAATTAAAATAATAAACAAATACGACAAATAGCCGGTCGAAACGATAATATTATTAAAGCTTTATAAAGTTTTCATAAGCAAAAACGTTTAAACGACTGTCACTTCAAGCACTAACGATATGGATTTTCTAATTATGATTGATAAAAAAAATCTTTTTAATTGCATACGATTTAGTGCATTAATGAATGAATCGAGAGTTTTTATGAGAGAATCATCTTATCGTATGTACGTGCAAACAGTAACAGAAAATTTTGAAACTAAAAAATGAAAAAGATTTTGGCAATAGAGCTAAACAATGTTTGAGCAAACGATAATTGAGAAAATCGAGTAATGTAAAGTAAACGAGGCACGCAACATCTTGAGCTCTCAGACTCCATTTCGCCAAACACTCCACGTAACTGCCAATTGTCCGAGGCTTCCTACTGAGTGAGTGTATGCGTGTATACATGTTTCCCCGTCCAAATGTACGCGCGTGTGCGTGTGTGTGTCTATTGTTTTTTTTTTTAAGAAGAAAAAATTACGGTGTCTGTTGCTCCGATGTGATTCCAGCGAGCGAGAAGAGCATTGACAGAGAGCTGCGCAAACCTGACGGCGAGGGCATCGACGATGACAAAGAGGTCGTCGAGGGGCCGTCGTAGGAAGGTATCGACCAGTCGGACGACGGACTCGCGGGACTCAGCTGCTGGCTCGAGGTGCCGTCGTTCGCATCCGGGGTGCCGTACATCGAGTGGAAGCCTGCGATATTAATCGAAGCGAGGAGAGATTATTTTCGCTGCCAATTGGCAGTTGCGCGTCGAGCCTTCGAGCCGAACAATCTTCGACAAATAAATTACGTACGAGAGTAATTTAATCTTAAACGATGCACTCACCGATTTAAGCCAATCGTTAAAGGATTTTACTTTTAAATTACTTGGAAGATAATGCGCAGAGCTATCGATCGATCCACCTCCATCGTATTATACATTGATAAAGCACGCAATTAAGAAAGAAATCGTAGGACGTATCGCGTAAGGTGTGCATGAATATTTCACGGACGACTCGCATTAATATCCTTAAAAGAGCATAATATTGCAATTTATCACCGTTGCTATTATCGTTATTTTATTATTTTTTGTTGGCTGTTGCTATAATTGTTGTTGAAGAAATTTTCAATGGTCAACGTTAGAGAGATTATGTAGAGATTTGTGGCTTCCAGTAGCTTCGAACGTTTACGTTAGAAACGTGCATCGTGCCCAAACAATATATATATATATATATATATATATATATATATATATATATACGTACAAAATGTCTGCAAATTATATTCACATAAACAGAAAACGTTCGATTATAAAAACATTGCGAAGCATTATCTCGTGCATGCTGATTCAAATAATTGTGCCCCTGTGTGTATGTGGGTTCGTTTCGCGATTGGATTCGATTGGGGTTATGGTTAATGGGGGATGGGGGATGAGGGATCGGGCGGAGAGGATAGGCAGGACGAAGAGACCAACCGGAGGGATTGCTGCCAAAGGTGCGTCTGTAGAGCTCGAGTATTTGGTTGTATGTGTGCTGATAGACTCTCCAGGCCTTCCTCAGTATCCAGCCGCCCCTCACGTAGCCGCTCAACTCCTGCTGGAGAAGCGTAAGCAGAGCGGCGCAAACCTGCGAGTCCGCGAGTACCACCTGGCGCTCCAGTTTCCTCACGTAGTCGCTCTGCGTCTGTAGTTAGTTATCGAGGATAAATTAAATTAGCTCGCGAGTAGCGAAAGCAGGAGGTTAAGCGAACGTTAAGCTCGCATGACGATGGCCTGGACGATTTTCGATACGCCCTTTCCATTTTCCCGGCTTAACTCAATATTATCGTCGATAATCACTAGGAATTTTTATCTCTCTTTGGTTTTGTCATTATCATTAATAATGCGCCCGTCTTCGATCCATTAATAGACAAAGAAAAACGAAAAGGGAGAAGGAAAGAAAGAAAGAAGAGAGCCTGTTGCTATATCGATTTCTGGTTAAAATTCGAGAATTCGTTCGATAAAACATTGATGCGGGCATGAAGGAAAGACAAGTTTAATTTTTAATTAAAGCGTATCATTTTCAATTAATTAACACACAATATATCGCTGGATTCATTCTTATTAAGTAAGTTTTTAATAAGCCAGACATTATGCTGTTAATAATTTCTCATTAAGTGCGCAAGTCCCGGTTAATAATTGAAATTTTATTAATTTACAAACTTCCTATAAATTTCACTTTCCATTTTAGAAAATACGATGTTTTTTAGAAGATAAATTTTCTTTATTTAGTTCTCTATATATTATATATGGGCGAATGTACGAAGGTTGTCAGAATACAATTGCTACCAATGCCCACCGGCCCGTACCTTCATGATTACGTAATTATTAATTCTAATTGAGTTTATATCAAACAACATGTTTTGTCACGAAGTAAAAATAATGATGGCTATATTTCTAGAACGCATCCATTATCGCAAAGAGCTTTTTAATATTCTAACAATGTAGTTCACCCGACAACACTTTCATTCCCAATGCGAACTTATTCTATTTATTACATTATTATTAAATTTAAATAAGAAGAAAAATGAAAGAAGTACTTATCATTAGTAAAACTTAAAAATTGTTCTTATATTTATTTATTAAATGTATTTTTTTCTTAAAAGAAATTCACTTCTCTAACAATTTTGTCGTTATTTTATTTTTTTTTATTTTTTTAGTATAGCTTCCTCATTCCTTCATATTACGTTTTTAACCTCTAAATAATTTATTTTACTTAAGCGGAAGAATAACAATATCGATAAAATTTAATCTATCGCTGTTACATATTATCCATTAATTACTGATTTAATTATTTTACTATCTCGCGTTAATTTGCTTGTTTTATGCTTCAATACATTATTGATGTATTGTCGATCTTGAGAATGCGATAGTATGAAATAAAAATTCAACGAGCTAATTCAATCGAAATGCTTAAATGCTTAAATGCTTATAAAGATGTCTCATTTAGAAATCAAGCGCATTAAAATATGTTTATACACAATCAAATTGTTTGTGTCGTAAAAAGTCTCTCTCTCCCTCTCTCTCTCTCTCTCTCTCTCTCTATCTATCTCTCGCACTCTCGCACTCTCGCACTCTCGCACTCTCGCACTCTCGATTAATGAATAGTTTAATCGCGAATAATCTGATTGATCAGATTAATTAAATTTTACTAAATTAAACTCACGTCGGTGAAATCGGACCCAAAAACTCTGTTCCTCATTGACTTGAGCCATCCAATGTCGCCGGCACATTCCCTTTCCATGTCTCGTAGTACTTGTACGGCCTGTTGAAGTTTATCATCCTCGAAAGTCATGAGCGCATTCTGCACACAATGTTAAAAAACAATAATAAATTGTCTCCAAAAGCGTCAATCGGCATTATCGTCATTAGCATCTATTTCGTAATTCAGCAAATCGTGCTACTTGTAGCCCACGATTATTTCTATTCCCATAAACTCGGTATAATTATCATTTTGTAAACGCGAGTGAACATTTACATGGCGTTACATACTTAAATGGGATATAATAACAATTATTATAATATTAACGAGATTAATTTCACTCTGATTATCTCAATTAATTATAATTATATATAAGTGTTGATGTACCATAAATAATAGAAAACTTCGACCGGCTTTGATGTGAAAGCTACATGGATGTTGAGAAAATAAGGCCTCGGCCTCTTTAGTTTTATTATTTAACAGAAGAGATATTCCCTTTCTGGCTGTGCACCAATCAGCCTCGGAAACCGATGAAGCCATTTCCTCAATCTTCTATCTACAAAAATAAAAATATAATTAGTTATTTCTTTCATTTACAAACTCACTTCATATAAACTACATATTTGAATATTTTATTAACGAAAAAAAAAAAAAAAAAAAAAAAAAAAAAAAAAAAGTAATCAGCTCTAATGATAAATTTATAAAACAAATTCTTTATGTGTAAAAATACTTGCAAGTTCGATTGATTACATATGCTATAAGAATAAAGAAATTCGAAAAAATTGACATTTAAATGCATTGTTAAAACATAAAATATTACAACAAATTAATTCAACAATGTGTTAATTACTGTTAATATGTGTTAAGTTAACAAATAGTTCATAATTTGGGAATGAAATTAAGAATAAACCAAACTGATTGGAAAATGATAATAATTGGACAAATCATGTATTTGAAACATTTCATCGGCAAGCTTAATTACATAAGCCAATTGTTGTTGCAAATATATCTGACACATTCTATTTTTTATAAAGCTGTAATCGTACAGACGCTTTATTGTAAATATACACATCTCTATATTACAATTTTTACTTTTACGGCAAATACACATAAATTCGCCATTAGTTTAATTATTGCATTTTTATATTCGATAGAAAACAATAGAATACACGAATTAATTTTTATTAAAACTATCTTATAATATATGTAATATAATTTTCTAAATTTTTTACATTTGGCGTTACATTAAACTTATGCTCTTATCGGCATCGTGACACACTAACTAACATTCATAATATTGATTTTCTTATTATTAGGACTTGTATAAATATTTTTCAAAAGCTTATGGCGTATAATTGTCCTGAATATAATAACGATAAGGAGACACAAATGTATGGATGTATGAAATTACCGACACTCCAGAGCTTAGGTATTCTCTAATAGACTATTTGTTTATATCACAAATACATTAAAATAAAATGCTTTACTAGCCACCTTCGAGGCCCATATATTTGAAAAATTTATCGTCTCAATGGAAGCGATAGATATGAGATAAAATTACTCTTTTTGTCAAATTGACATCAAATTAACCAGCTATTGGCACACCCGAGAAAATTCAATTAAAAATAATATATGCTCTTGTCAATTAATTAATAACTTACTCCTTGAAATACCATAACAAAAAGCCAATATTAAACGTACCACTATTAAAATTCTACTACACGCACTAAATGAGATGAGGTGTGTGTTTTTGCTCCGAATGTGAAAATCCAAGGACTCCGAGTTTCACCAACAGCGGGATGCTTAACGCAACAGCGAATAATAATTATTATGCAATTCTATTCTCTTTAACGAAAGAGTATTATTATGTGAAAATCCAAGGACTCCGAGTTTCACCAACAGCGGGATGCTTAACGCAACAGCGAATAATAATTATTATGCAATTCTATTCTCTTTAACGAAAGAGTATTATTATTATATTTAAAATTAAAAAAAAAAAAAAAAAAAAAAAACTGCCAAATAAATAAGCTAATACTTTATCCAATATATCTCAAATGGATAAAGAATCATCGGGTTGGTGGTGAACTCTTTAAAGGCAATATTACATCCACGAAAAATCGCGCTTGAATTTGAATTTGAATTTGAATTTGATCGAAATTGAAGGACGGACCAATGGGAATAAATAAGTGATGGACAATGCTTGATAAACACCTCGTCGAAAGGAACAAGTACAAGTGTGCGACGAAGTAGTGGAAATACATTTGTAATAAATAATTGAGCCGACCTACCGCAACGATCGTAATTTTTAATATTATGGAATATTAAATGTCGGCCTAAAACAAAGGCGAGAGTGTCAAAAGTATCGGGCAAGCGCTCGGGCTCAAATAGCCCAGCTCAAGGATGCGAAAAATCAAGGATAATCAAGGAGTTGCGTGCCGAAACTGATTAAAGCAATTCCAATTCGCCTAACCAGCTGAGCAAACAGTTGCAAAGTCTCGGCTATTTGCACACAGTCGGCGTGCAAAGTCGAAGAGACCCGGACGAAGGTCACCGCGCGAGAAGTAACATTAAGATACAACAACAATGAGTATAACAACGAAAGATAATAGATAAAGGGTGTGGGAGAGGGGTAAGGGGAGCTCCCTGGCCCCTGGCGCCGGCGCGTCAAAAGCCAGATGAAAAGCGAGAGGCGACAACTAGAGAGTGAGAGCCAAGAGAGTATGGGAGGCCGACGGACGACAGCAGCAGCAGCATCACGTGGTGGTGGTTGTGGTGGTGGTGGTGGTGGAGCTGCTCCCTCTTGCAAACTCGAAAAACAAAGAGACGCGACGAACGCGAGAGGTGCGAGTTTTTCCCAGCGCGAAATCATGCAGAGGCATCTTTGTCGTCTCCAGAGCGCGCGATTGTCTCTCTCGCTGCAGCCGCGTGAGCTCGGCGCCTCACCCCTCGATAAACAATGAGCTTCGATCTCTTAGATCGGAGAGCTCGTTACTTACAAAGTGAACAGACATGGCATTCATCTCGCTCGCGCTTCCTCCGCTGAATTATCATCAGCCCCGCGCTCATTACTCCGATCAACGACAAACATAAACAACAACAAAACAAAAATCTACTACTTCAAGCAAATTTCACGCCCGCCTGTAGGCTAACAATTATTATTCCAAAAAAGGAAAAAGTTTCTTTTCACATACTTGTCATTATTATTAAAAAAAAAAAAAAAAAAAAAAACATTTCCCCTTCAAGTTCTTTACCTACGCATAATAATTAATCGTGACAAAAGCTTAAATTACAATAAGAATTTATATCGCGTATTATTTCTAATATTTGAGAATAGAGTTCTGAAATTAGTTTGAAATATTCATTTAAACAATCAAATATCAAATATACTCTCGAGATTTTCTGTTTATTTACAAATTTCACTACAAATTGTTCGGCTATTTCATTCTTTCACATTCTCAATGACTTTTCACGTGAGATTTGTAAAAAAAAAAAAAAAAAAAAAAAAAAAAAAAAAAAAAACCATTCGTCTATACAGACTTTTTCATAATATATAATAGTTTCAATAAAAATTGACGGAAGATATCATTCGCAAGACATAAAAGAATATTCACTAACAAACAATAATAACATATTACAATCGTAATTATAAATTATAATGTAATTGCAAAGTGATAATTAAGGTTTTATATAGAGCAATGGTAAAGGGGATAATTAATTAAAAGATATTTGACTTTCTCGATACAATTAATTTCAGAAATTTTCTTCTTCTTTTTTTTGTTTTTTTTTTGTTTTTGTTTTTGTTTTTATTATTTAGTGATAATAAAACAGTTTATAATTTAAAGCTTCTTGATTGCAAAATTACAATTTCTTTCGATTATATCGATATATATATATATCGATATATATATATATATATATATATATATATGTAAATAATTTCTAATTAATATTTTTGAGTTATTGTTTGCCTTTTTTTTTTATTTTTTATTTCATTTAGATTAAAATTCATATAAAATATTTTAATTATTGTTTACTATTAATTAGGAGAATATTTATAGAAACTAAGCTTGACAGAATTGAAGAAAAAAATCTATCATTATGAATGTACAATGAAAAAAAAAAATTTTTTCGATTATTATTATTGGATAAATTTGTCTTATTAGATATAATAAAGAAATCGTTAAATTACAAAATTTTTCAATGCAGCTTTATGCATAATCTACGGCATTTACATTAATATTTAATTTTTAATGGAAGCTTTCCTTTAACACTTGTTTTATTTTACTTCTTAATGGTAGAATTAAAATTTATCTGTAGATAAATTTAGGCGTTTATAATCCAAAACAGGATCTCATAAGATTAACTTTGAATTTAATGGATTATAATGCTCGAATAATCTATTGAATAATCGAAAAATCTTGGAAAAAATTATAAAATCATTAATTCGTCGGCCTTCGTAATGACGAAATTGAAGAAAAAAATTCATGCAAACAATTTTTATTACACATTGTAATGATAAACAATTATGATATGCAACATCCGAAGAAAAAAAGGCCCTCGGAAGTGATACGTGATACAAAGTAAATAATTTAAAATCACAAGCAAATAATGAATTTTCTTTGTTTTATTGAAAATATTGATTATAAAATTCTATTCTATACAAATGTAATTCATAAAATTTCATAAACAAATATTATTTACAAATTGGCCAATGAAACTATTAATCGTGTTTATTAAAATGTTGTAATAATTAATGCAGTAGAGTATTAAGAATTAAGTGCAATGTTAAAGAATGCGATATAACTAATGGTATTAACATAATTTATGGTCATTAACATCGACTAAATGGTTCATTAATTAATTACATTTAACCGTATGTTTTCTTTTCCGATGCTCCTTACATTATCATTTTTTATCAGTACATGTATCCCCGCAGTAGATGCACTAGCAGATGAAATGTATGCAAGAATTTATTCATTTCGTGGGCTTGAGTCGCGAATATAAAGTTATCGAATACGTAATGCGAAAACATCGAGTTTTACAAAAGTTAAATCAATGCATGAAGAATGGTGCCTGCAAGACGTAGTATAGGCTTTTCGTAGTCATAGGCTGATAAGATGAAAGGAGCTTGGTTGTTACGCCAGCACAATGGCACAACGTGAATCGGCATTGGCAGATCGATCGGATATTCGGATACTGGAAGTCGAGCGTTGAAAGCTCTATGGCCTAACAAACACACACACACGCGCGCGCGCGCGCGCGTGTCTCTGCGTTACAATAATTTGATAAAGGGAAAAAAAAAACTTTCATTCAACGAAGTTTTTAACAAAAAAAAAAAAAAAAATTAGCGATAAAATGTTTTACGTAAAGCTGATTATTTTAATGCTCGCGTGGTTGTCGAGTGTAAAGTCAAGGATGAAAATGTCAGTGGCAAAAAGTATTGACTGAAATGAAATCAAGTCCTTCTTCTTTCGACTTTTTAACAATCCTTCCCGATTAAACACGATAAAGCCATTATATATTCCTTATGGCTTATCGAGTGATTATTATTACCATCGCGTAGTGTATCATGTAAGTATCATGAATGAACGGTGATTCGTAAATGTATTTCTTAAAGTACGATCGGTCGAATCAATAATTAGCGTAGCCTCGGCTACTGAATGCCGAATAAAAAGAGACAAATTACTATTATCGTTTGCTTACCGATGTCCTCGATTACACAAATTTTTCAATAACTTAAAAGAAATAAGAAAAATGTAAAACTTTGCTGTAAATAACGATTGTATTTAGTTTGGGGTTTAAAAATAATAAATTTGGCACGTAACGTGTCGTGAGATGTCGAATTATTCATAAAAGTAATGAGAAGCGGGAAATGTAAGAGAGGGAGAAGAAAAATGAATTATTAAACGATATATTAAACTTAATTTCGATTCAATTACTTTCTAATTGTCCGCGAGATTGAAAAGAAATTTTAATTCTGTAATAATTTAAAAGCTTCTTATCACTTTGAACGTATTTTTTGTCTCAGACAATGGATTTCGTGCTCAAAGGCTGACAAAGAAAGTAAGTTGCTTTGTTAGCGCAAGTAATAATTTCTAAGATAAAAAATGTATTGTTGATACAATAATAAGAGTTTCACTCGAAACTAAAACAACAACAACGACGACGACGACGACGACGACGACGACGACGACAATAATAAAGAAAGAATCCTTTAATAAAAGCCAAGTTCATTCATTCAAATGTCTAATATTAACATCTCGCACATCTACGTACATACACACGTATGGCATCTCAAAGAATATGCACCTTCTATTAGTTTAAGCTACAATGAAAAACAACAACAAAAACAACAGCAACGACAAACACAACGGCAAATACAATGTAAACAAGATCGTTAGGGATTATATCATTATCAAACTATCGACTAGGAGGGTTGTATGCCTATGTTTTCAAATACAACCAACGATTCGTTCGGATTCCAATTCTACTAATCAACCTGCTCAACCGTCATAATTCACGCGCCACGATCCACTACATTTTCAACGCTTTTAAAAATCAATATTTCAACTAGCATACTTACCTCGTAACTCGTAGCCGCTCTGCTATAATTTAATCTATCAATGCCCGTCCTAACTCGATTAAGGGAGCCCACACTAGACAATACGATTTTTTAATTACGCCCCCGGGCACCTTCACTCGCCCATAATGTCACAACGATTCGCATACGCGGGCATACGTCGATGGAGATTAAGGAGGTTGGCGGGGTTGTTCGTTTGGCTGACGTTCGCTCCCACGAATTCGTTGGCGAGTGAGAAAAGACGTGCATTAGCCGCCTACAGCCCTTGACACTGCGATACGGCGATTGAAGAAGTGTGAAGAAACGGCTAGGTGGACGATGGGGAGTGGAGGGAGCTTTTTCCCTCAGCTCCCAACGGCGCCGGAGAACGAGAGATGCGAGAGCAGCGCGCGCACGAGGTCGACTAACCCTTAGACTAACGCCAGCGTCGCGAGACGAGAACCGCAACGTGTCACTCCTCCACGCTTGTTGTGCTTCTCCAATCTTATTGATTATTGTCTGGAAATGCTGCCGTGACCCTGAAAGTCGTCCGTTTCGTCGTGGTCGTCGTGGTCGTCGTGGTCGTCGTCGTCACAGCCGCAGCCGCAGTCGCAGTCGCAATCGTAGCCGTAGCCTCACTAACTCGAATAAGAGAGGACAGTGTGTAGTAGCGATAGACTCGCCGCGCTCCGGGAATTTCGCCGTTAATGTGTATGTGCAGCAGCCGGTCGGTCGGTCGGTCGGTCGGTCGGTCGGTCGACTTCTCCTCGGCATTATGTAAGGGATTCGCGGATTTTCTGGTGCGCGCGGCGGCACACGTCACCACCACTCCGCGGCTTACGACGCTCGTACTTTTCAATTTCACCACGCGCGCATGAACCAGCCTTTCCCTGCTTTCATAAGTATACAAAAAAACAAAACAAAAAACAAAACAAAAAACAAAACAAAAAACAAAACAAAAAACAAAAAACAAAACAATAAATAGAACTATAATTAAAAATAATCATTGGATGTATTTGGCAAGGCATAATGATAAGCTTGCTTGGAGTGCGGGTTTGATGATTTTTCCCCGTAGCCTTAAAAAATATAATTAACCGAATAATGCTTTTCCTTCACGCTCGATTCCAGTTGAGGAGATATTTGCGCTTACGTTTGCGCTTCATATGCAATGGATATAATTCGACGCGACGCTGCAGTTACAAAAGTTATAAATAAATGCTGCCTCGGTCTTTTTTATTAGCTTACACTTAATTTTTGTGCTTTGGTATGTTAACTTCTCCATTCAGCAGAAATTGTGTCAATGGTGAAACGGATGTACGAGACTTGGGAGGACAAAATTTACTTCCAAACAATATTTACATTCTGCTTTACTTTTTTATTAGTAAAACATGTACAGTGATGTAAACGAACGTAGCAATGATATGGATGTGGAATATCAAAAACACACGATGGCATATCTCAATGGTTTTTACATTTTTTTTCCCCCCCCCCCCCCCGCCCTCTATTATTGCTATTTCCTTTTTCTTTTTTTCTTTTTTTTATCTCGTTGAATAAAAGTAAACTGTCGATCGATCGATCGATCGCCTACGGTAAGACCATTTTTAGAATTTGTTACCGAGCTTATACAAATTGACATATTTTTAATGCGCATTTTCGACATTACGGTAAACGAGAAAATGACGAAACATGGTACATTAATGTATGTGAAGTCGATAAAACCGTTTACGATAAATTACTCTTACCCTGTCTAATAAACGTGAAAATTAGCAACTTTTTAAGCTTTTAAATTATCGTAAATTAATTTCAATGCCAATAAGTTCTTAAGAAACGTGTAAACAAATCTACACGACTATTTTTCTTTTTACCTATTTAGTGGGAATATAAAAATTTTTTTTTTTTTTTTTTTTTTTTTTTTTTTTTTTTTTTTTTTTTTTTTTTCTTTTACGATCGTTAATTCTGGAGAGTTGTTAAATATTCGATTTGCGCACTCTTCGTCAAACGAATTTTATGTTATTTCTTTTTGTTTCTTCATTGGACATGGAAAACGTTTTAAAGTCACGCTAAAACTAAAGATAACAACAACAACAACAACAACAACAACAAATAAATATAATTCGAATAATGATATATCAAGTTCCTTTTCTTTTTAATGTACAGTAATAAAATATTATATATTCAACATTCTAATAATTCGAACGTATTCATTTCCTGTTTTGCTGGTTCTGGACAATTGAAAACAAGGTTGCTGTGTTATCGAACAACAATCCTGTCCGATAATTTTATCATTAAAAACAAATCTTAAATTTAGATACAAAGATGCGTAACATATTATCCATATTTATAATATGTTGCTCAATAAAAATACTATTGTTTAATTATTAAGAGGCAAAAATTTTTATTGAAGTAAAAACGACATCTTGTAATAAAATAAATTACTTTATGTAAATTAAAATATTTTACAATCTTTGTTTCGTTTAACAATTGTAAAATTAATAATAGTGTAATATACAGAACATAACGGTACAAAATTTATTTATCCACAATGAGCAATTACTTAATATCTGTACGACTAAAATACAAAATACAAATAAAAAAATAGAAATAATAACTTGATTTGCTTTGGCTACTTAAGATTCTTGACTTTTCGCTAATTATCTTCCATTGATATGAATTTAATAATAAGTTGGCAAGGCAAATTACAAGAGTAACGCTTAAGATATTAATACATTCGATTAAGAGCGTTTTATAAAAATAAAGATTTTGCATACAATTATACAGAATTGAACAATGAGAATTTCTGTTCAACAGAAGTTTTTAAGCTGTTTGCAATTTGTCTACTATGTGAATATCATCGATACTATAAAGTCTCAAATCTCAAAATCAATTTCTCTTTTCAAGTTGCAAGCGACAAAATGGACATTTATATCCGTACCAATAATAAACTTTGTACAATTATTTACACACTTTGTACAAGATTACGCCCAGTACATCCAGGCCCTTTTACCAGGAATGTCATACAAATTCTAAGCCTTCAAACTTTTTATTCGACACTTTGATATCCGGCATAATTATTTGCCCATTAATATTAAATGCTGTAATGTAAGTGGCAGTGTCTCCGTGGTATTCCTCCGTCTTCAAAGCCACTATTATAGTGTCTTTAGAACCGGGTAGGAACTTAAAACTTGAAAATCCTCTGATGGGTATAAGCTTGCCAATATATGTTACCTGTGAATTAAAATTTCACAATCGCTTAATAAAAAGTGTTACGAGGTTTTCATTTTTTTTTTTTTTTTTTTTTTTTTTTTTTTTTTTGTTGATTTTCTTTGTAGAATTTAGAATATTTTACTACGATCGTTCCAAATCTATGTACTTTTGATTAATCGTTTGAGCGATTGTATTTGAAAATTTTAATACATAAATTTGTATCCTTATTCCGGCTAATATTTACCGTGAATTTTACACAACTAAATGTTTATTAAATGTCATTAGGGCCGTTGAAAATTAAAATTTGAATTTCTTAAAATTAATTTGGGATGCAATTTTAAAATATATATAAAGTAATCGCTAACCTCAATATTTACAAAAGTTTCATCGGCCGTTAACATTACATTACAACTCATCACTTCGTCTTTGGTGTCGTTATATGCTTCCTTTGAACATCTTCTAGGAATAAAAAACCATTTATGATGAATATTACTCCAGACTCCAGATTCGTGAATCACGTAACCTGTATAAGAATGAAATTATCGATTAACCGATACTTGTGACGGAACATTTTTACCTGTTTACGTAATGCTTATGTAATTGTTAATTATTTACCGGGAAATTCAATGTTTATCGCTTCTCTCAAACGCTTATAATTTGAAATCCAGTTTCTAGAATGTACCTCTCCGTGAGGTGAAATTACTTTAATCCATTGTGGATTGTTATTTTGAATTTCTCCATTATTCGTCGTCCATTCTTTGCCCATACTTCCAACGTACAACTGCTCGTCTTTCACCGTCGCCCATTCGGATTTAAAACCTTAATATAGAAAATAAGATGAAATATTGAAATACTCGGTAAACGATGTTTTAAGAGGCGTCTTAATTAAAAGGCATATAAACCTTTGGTGTGCTTTCCGTTCCCATCCATGAGTATGACCCAAGGATAGACTCTGTCCCCTTCGAAAAAATAAATCATGCCAGTTCTGTCGTCAAAAGTTAACAATCTACCGTCAAAAGTCACAAGTTCCGAAAGTTCCATTCCTCGACCCTTCATTGCCAGCGACGACGACAAAGTCACAAAGCCCTCTTCCCACGCCACCGATATAAAATTTCTCGACGGCCTCCACGTTAGACGACCCTTCTTCAGATAACTGACCCACACATTTTCTTCGTCTACGCTCTTAGATCTCTCATCCAGATCGCTGACAATGGCTATCGCGTACGACACGCTATTAAACTGCTTAACCGGAAGCGTCAATGGATATGTCCTGTTATAAAAATAATACTGGCACGGGGGAAGCGTATTCTGTATTTGAGCCGAACAGACGATAGTATTGACCAACGGATAGCCATAGTAAAAGAATATAAATAAGAAAAGGAAGAGCACAAAGAGCAAAAATTGGCTCTGCACCCGAAGGCTACTATTGCCAACTCTGTAAATGTGCGGAGTACGTAGAGCTTGTCTCCAGTCACGCGAAAGCATCGTTTCCGTATCCGAACTCTCTGCTTTATGCTCGAAATGCTGATCGTTCTTCAATATCGTCATCTCATCCTCTGTTAAAATTTTGTCCAGCTGTTTGCCAACACGACGACTCCGTCGAGATCTGCAATCAATAACCAAACCATCAACACTACGCACCTATTATCCAAATGCTTAATTATTACGCGCATAATATTATTGGACTCGTGAAGCAATTTGCCAATTATTATGTGCACGAGTGGCAAAAATTATTGCCTTTTACATTTAATAGCGGACACGAACATGTGTATATATATATATATATATATATGTACGAGCTTTTTAAACGTAAGCAAATAACCTCGCTTTTATATACCCGTTTTCACAAATCAGAGACATCTCTATTTGAATATTTATATTTCATCATCCATTATCACTCCACGTACCTCATCTCCGATCCCTCCTAAACGCATCAACGCACTCCATTATAACGATTATTAGTAATTATTACCTTCTCCCCTCGACAAGCCTTACTTCAACCTTATCTCACTACACCATTATCCTGCCAATATATCCATACGCTTGACCTCCTTTACCTTTTTACCTTTTATACTCCCTGCCCTCGTGCTCCACGACGAGCCGATGTTTTTCACGACATTAGTCGCCCGCGATTGCCCACAGCGGTCGATAAAACAGAATGAGGCAAGAAAGAATTTTCCACCAACAACTCCATCAACTTTTCTCCAACAACTATCTATCTATTCACCGCATGTCTGTCTAATCTATGAACAACCAAATCCATAATATTTTTCCATGCATAATTCAGTCTATGCAATATACATCAAATATCCAATTTTATCGCCCGCAAGCTTTTCTGCACGACAATCATCATTACAGAATATTATCCTTGTGCCGCTCTAATAATATTAACAAAATTCACTCGAACCCAAACAGTTCGAACCCCGACAACTCAATGTCCAACCATTTATCCTACAACCTCGCATTACATTACCTATCATTACTTACTGTCCCTATCAAACGCGACGCAACAATAACAATCGACAAAACCACTAAACCATACGTTTCTAATATTTTCTTAAGGATGCGCCTGCAAAATCACAATTTATCCCCACGTTTTATTCCTAATATTTTCTATTTCCTAACATTTATATGCTATATTACTCAACGCTTGAGTACTTTTATAAAAAAATAAATTTCATGATGACTACTACTCGTTAGAAACGAATAAGAAAAAGTTGGCAAAAAGTCAACGTTACGCGGGGTTCCCAAGCGGTCACCCATCCAAGTACTAACCGCGCCCAATGCTGCTTAACTTTGGTGATCGGACGAGAACCAGTGCTTTACAGCATGGTATGAACGTTAACACTAACACTATTAAGGAATAAGGATAAAAGGTGAAAAGTACTTTCAATTTTTCCACGCAACACTATCGCATTCCCATGTATTGGTTGCTCCGCATTTTGTTCCAATTACCAGCCACCGTTTGGTGTGGTTGTGGGTAGTTTTGATGTGATAGGTATGGGTGAGGTGGTAGTTCGAGTAGATGGGAATGTGATATTGTGATCGTTAACGTTCATACCATGCTGTAAAGCACTGGTTCTCGTCCGATCACCAAAGTTAAGCAGCATTGGGCGCGGTTAGTACTTGGATGGGTGACCGCTTGGGAACCCCGCGTAACGTTGACTTTTTGCCAACTTTTTCTTATTCTTTATTCCCAATGATATAATTATTACATTAATGTATAAAGAAGTAAAAGTAAAAAAAAATATTAATATTTTTTACATTTTAATATTCTTAGAGAGAATAATGATATAATAATACTCAGTTTTAATTGCAGTGAATAAGCCGATTGTTAATTTATACTGAGAATAATCCGTAATTTGTATAATTATAATTAAAAATAATTTTAAAATTCACACTCTGAAGAATCTAATGCAATATACATTTAAACATATATATTTGTAAGGGAAAGTTCTATTAGAATAATTTAAAATCCAAACATCTTATATTCGTGTAATAAATACTAATTTCAAATAAAATGTAGATATTAATATTTTTTAAATAAATAAATAAATAAACTTGATTACATTTCCCTTTCTTTATTCTTCAAAATATCGTAGAATAAAACATTAAGAATTTAAATCCTATAAAAATGAAATACGTTAAAAACAAAGAAACAAAAAACAAAAACAAAAACAAAACAAAAAAAAAACAAAAAAAAAAAACATCGGTTTTCAAATATTAAAAGTTTGAATTATAAAACTTAAATATTATACAATTTTATATATTCAATCCATTCCGTGGAACTTCTTTACATTTATTTTAAATGTATAATTCGTCTTTAAATGGAGAAAATAATATCCCATTATTACTTGTTTATCTGTATTGTTCTTCTATATTATTATGTATTAAAATCTTCAAAATTCAATAATTAATTTGTTTATTATTACTATAATTCTCTTTTTTATTTATGCATACCATTTATGTTATATCACCAATTTTGTCTAAGTTTTTATTTTAAAGTCCAATTTTACTTTGAGAAATTAGAAAAACTATATATGCCTAATGTATTTCTTATTATAGATATGCACTCGTCGTCGAACTTAATTTCTCTAATTTAATTATGCAACAATAATTTTAATGCGATAACATTAATTTATCTCTCGAATGCTTTTATTCTTCATGTCAATTGGCGAATGAAATTATTGTTTAATTGATTTGAATGATAAATAATATGTGACTTATTAGTAGAGTAAAATGTGCCTGAAAAGTGTCATTTATTAATTTGATTGTTAATATCAATTGAAAATAAATATTTGTAACGTTATGATGTTATATTATTAATTTTTCTATTGATAAACGGAATGTGAAGGAAGAAAATTTCTTTCCTTCCTCTTCGAAAGCATCTATTATACTTTTAATCACAATTTCTTAAATTATAATTAGAATTATTACTCGCAGTGCATCTTGAAATTATTAAAAGATTTCATCAATCAAAAGTGTCGATGATTTATTGGGAAAAAAAATCATGCCTTTACATTTACAAATGTTTGTTTCTCTTGTTTTATAATATAATAAAACGTCGTAAGAATTTTTTCTATTTGCTTCAATTTTTACAATAATAATATATTTTAAGTCTTATTTATCCTTTACAACAACAACAATACATCCAATCCTCCAATACTCCACCTAAAATATACAGAAAATATAACAAGAAATGTTTGTTATTATAAAAAATATGTATATAATTAAAGAAATTTATCAAAATCATTATGAACCTCGAGTTACTCTCTATGTAATTAAAGTGTATAAATTATTGTTTAATGAATAATTATTAACGAAAAATTATAGATATAAATATAATAGGAATATATTATATTCGTATTATATATTAAAATTGATGTTGTTTAAATTTGTTTTTTTTTTAAAAAAAAAAAAAAAAAAAAAAAAAAATTCTAAAATAAATAATGTATACATTTCAAAAATTAAATTATATTAATTTATAGATTTATAAAGTGACATTTAATTCATTATTATGGAATTATTCATCGGGCATTATTCACGAATAATTAAAGATTTGTAATTTATTTAAATTTTATTATTGTTTTTAATAAATAAGTTAATTGAGAGGTAAAAGCTATATAATGTTTTTCATATTCGGTTCGTGAAAATTTTTTAAGTTAAGAAAAAAAAGTTTTCATCTAAATGTTTTCTTAACCAATAAAATTACAATTTTACATTAAAATTTTCATTACAAATTATAGCTTATCATATTGATAAATTAAAAGCAAATTTACTTAAAAAAGAAAAAGTAATTTTTCGCAATATAAAGTAATAAAAATGGTTAAATTAATATCTTTCTGATATAGAATCTATATCTAATTTTCTCAAATTTATAATCTTAATATATAAAATAAAAATAATAAATAATAGCTAATCATAATATTTCATATAATTACGAAAATTCAATAAAATTATTTGAATTCTTTGGAATTATTGTGATTACGGAATGCCGCTACGCTCTATTTACCTTTTTGTCGTTTTTTATTTGTTATAAGTTTAAATATCAATGTTTGTAATAATCATTCCGAGGTATTTCTTTAATTTCGGTTCGAGCTTAGTTTGCTTTTATGCCTGACATGTATCGTGAATTATTTCTTGAATAAATTTTTTTATTGAGACGAGATATATTGTATAAATTTTGAGGCGAACTTATTTTGAAAATCATTGTTTGTCTATGTGTGTGCCGCTACGAGATTATATGATTATTTTTTTTATTTATTTTACATGCTTATGCATATATATATATATATAGAGAGAGAGAGAGAGAGAGAGAGAGAGAGAGAGAGAGGAAAAAGAAAAGATCCTCAAGGGTTTGTAGATTAAATTCAGTTTTGTGCGCGCATTTAGTCGATCATGTATTTATCAAGTTCTACGCCATTCTATAATTCATATTAAACATTGTAAATTAAATAATTATTACGTAGCTTTTAGTAAAGATTTATAGAATTAAAAATATTTAAGTATTATTATATTTATATTAATAATGATTAAAATAATATAATGATTCAATACAAATGACGATTAATTTCCAACAGAAATATCCATTATGGTGGATCTAAATTCTGTTATTTTTTGTTCATAGTGTAAATAAATTTTTTACATAAAACAAATTTTTAAATATTTTACTCTTTTTCTCGAGAAATTAATCTTATTTTGTACGCCACGATTATATATGTTCAGTGATTTTTTTTTTATAAATTACCGACCACTGGTAGAAACAAAAAATACCATTTCGAGATAAATGTGTATATTTGTTATTCAAATTTCTCTCGTATTATTAACAAAAAATATATAATTTTACGTAGAAAATATATAATATTTATAAACTGTTAAAAAAATCGAAAGAAAATAAAAGAAACAAAAAAAGAAAAGAAAAAAAAACAGCTATTATTAACTTTTCGTAACTTTTAAAGATAACAATAACGTCATGTTGATAAATATTCATTTCCAATCGATGGAAATAATATTTCTTTCAGAGGTGGAAATTCGTATATGAAAAACTTTGATCAAAATAATATATTATAATCGATAGATGCACTACTAATTCGATTGTCAGGCAAGTCGAATTTACTCAACGATTTCATTGTGAATTTGTTAATGTTTGGAGGAGAAGGCGAGCGCAGGGCTGAATAAGGAAAATAACGTATACGGGAATTAAAATTTTCGCTCATAAGTAGAATCAATTAGTATACGATTAAAAGATTTTCTGC